GTATTTTCCTATCACATCACATCATACATTCAAACGTTTTAAAGAGGGGTCGGGCGATATTAAGCTTCTTCCTACTACCTCAATTTGTATTCTTTTGCACACTTGTGTGTCTGAAATCTGTTCTAACTTTAAATGAAAAATAGGATTTTTAGCTGTGTTGTGTGACGTGTGAAACACCTTTCCCCTCTCAAATTATGTTGCCAATTTATCGCTTCCAGGATACTGTTTTCAAAATGTTCTAGAACCGTGATTGCAAACCTATGGCACGCGTGCCAGAGGTGGCACGCAGCACCCTTTCTGATGGCACACTAGCCGTCGCCCCAGTTCAGCTCTGCTGCGCATGCCTTCCGCTGGCCAGCTGGTGTTCGGGTCTCTGCTGCGTGTGTGCGTGTGGCGCGTGCACAGAGGTATGCACGCATGTGTGGGGTGCATGCGCAGGGGCCGCACATGCTTTGGGCACTTGGTCTGGAAAAGATTAGCCATCACTGCTCTAGAGGAAAAAAAGATAACATAAGTGAAACAGTGGCAAAGAATATTAAAATATAATAAAGGAATAATTTCTATACTATCCCTTTTTTTTCCAAGTGGCAACTGGACTTTCTGGTTTTTCTTTGAAGACGTTTCACTTCTCATCTAAGAAGCTTCTTCAGCTCTGAAGAAGCTTCTTGGATGAGAAGCGAAACGTCTTCAAAGAAAAACCAGAAAGTCCAGTTGCCACTTGGAAAAGCACCTCTGGGATGCCTATAAAGAGACTGAATCAGGAAACCATTAATGAATCCTTGATTGCATGTTCTGACTGGATGATGGAGGAGGGAAGGATTTATACTCCTTGCAGACAGCTGATCATTTGCATCCTTTTAGAAAATCGTTGAGACCACTTGGAGGTTTATCTATATCCTCAGGGCCATTTGATTAGTGCAAATGGGTGTGGAGCTTTCTTGGAACTGTTGAAAAGACTGTGTTGTAGACTGGAAATAGATGCTCCACACTCATTTGCATTCCCCACCATCCAGTCAGAGTTGAAGAAGCTTCTTGGATGAGAAGCAAAAGGTCTTCAAAAACAAACCAAAAAGTCCAGTCGCCTCTTGAAAAAAGGGACAATCATGACCTGGATGTCTGAGAATCTCGATAGACAACCTGTCAACTTGCAAAGCATCCCTGGCCTGCTCTCGAATTGCCATGGGCAAGGGGGATGGGAAACTGATGAAGCAGCCGACAGCCAAAGACAGGAGTGTATTCCAGACATACCTTTCTCAAGGCTGTATCCCAGGGTTACCCACAGCTGCCGGAGGGGAGTAGTCTCTAAAACCCACGAGTTGGCTTCATTTGGGAATGTGCGGACATGGAGCTTGGCTCAAGGCTCATGATTTAATTAGGGCATCCCTCGGAACCGTGACACAACTATTATGCTAGCACATAGTGTGGTATTTAAAGAGCTAATGTTTGAGCCAGATTCTCTTATATGGTACCTAAGGGCTTTCTTGTGGGGTGGGGGGGTGGGAAAGACAGCTCAAGAAGAGAGCAGCATCTTAATCTCTTGTGGTTGGGCAGGGAAACTTGAAAGAAGATAAGCTAAGTTTTGGGGAGGGAGGGAGCTGAGCTGGTAGAGAGCAGGAGATAAGAACGAATCAGGAAATGGAAGTGGCTTGCAGTTGGCTGCAAATCTTTTTTATATACCTCTTCGACTTTGTTGGGGCTAGTTGTGGCATAGTGACCAATTTGGGGTGATGGGGACCTTCTAATCTAAAAGGAAAGACCCTGATATAAAACGCTGCCTTGTCACGTAAAGTTCAATTAATAGGTAGTTCTCGAGTTAGGACCACAATTGAGCCCAAAATTTGCATTGCTAAGCAAAACATTTGTTAAGGGTGTTGTGCCCCATTTTACGACTTTTCTTGCCGCAGTTAAGCGGATTGTTGCATTTGTTCAGTGAGTAACACGGTTGGTTAAATGAATCCGGATTCCCCGTTGACTTTGCTTGTCAGAAGGTGTGACCCTGGGACATTGCAACCGTCAGAAATATGAACCAATCTGAATTTTGATCACGTGACCACAGCGGATGCTACAATGGTCGTAAGTGTGAAAAACAGCCATGAGTCACTTTTTTCAGTGCCGTTGTAACTTCGAACGGTCACTAAATGAACTGTTGTAAGTCGAGGACTACCTGCATAAGCTGTGAGGATTTGGACATCCCAGTTATGGATTGTAAGAACCTCCCAGGCCGAACTATCTCCTACCCATATATATTCTTTTAAAAGCTCTTTCACAGTCTAGTTAGCAAATTTTGTCATTGGTTGGTTGCCTTTATTTTTCATTTGGAGGCTGGGTCTAAGACAGTGATGGCTAACCTTTTTGCCATCGCGTGCCAGGAGCGGGGGGAGGGGTTTGCGTGCATGCGTTCCCACACCCATAATTCTATGTGCTGTGCCCCCATGCATACATGCATGCCCTTCCCCAACTTCCCACTGTAAGTTGGCAAACAGGACATTTCCAGCATCCGGAGGGCCTCTGGGGGGGGTGGGGAAGGCCATATCCGCCCTCCCCAGACTCCTAGAAAGGCTCTGGAGCCTGGGGACAGCAAAAAACAGGCTTTCCGATCCCACTGGAAGTTGGCAAACAGGACATTTCCAGCCTCCGGGGGGGTGGGGAAGGCCATATCTGCCCTCCCCAGACTCCTAGACATGCTCTGGAGCCTGGGGACAGCAAAAAACAGGCCTTCCGGTCCCACTGGAAGTTGGCAAACGGGCCGTTTTTGGCCTTCGGGGGGGGGAGGCCGTTTTCACCCTCCCCAGACTTCTAGAAAGGCTCTGGATCCTGGGGACAGCAAAAAATGGGCCTTCCCCACCCCCACCCCCACCCCCACCCGAGGCCCTCCAGAGGCAGGAAACAGACTGTTTCCCTACTTCTGGTAGGCCCAGAAGGCCTGAGCTGAGTTCGCGTGCCCACCGATATGGCTACGCGTGCTACGTGTGCCATAGGTTCGCCATCACGGGTCTAAGATGTTAAGAGGACTTCCGTGGTTTCTGAGCGATACTCAGGGTGGAAAAACAAGATAATGATCTGCCCCAAATCATATGTCTTCTTGCCTTCCTGGCCCTACGTTGAATATTCAAAGTCAGCTGTTATAATCATCCATAGTTACAGCACAAGCTATAGTATATTCATTAACCTGTATTTAAGTAGACAAATGGACATCATGTGTATTCAAGAAGGCTATTGGGAGACTGAATTTCTAGAGTAGCAATAGCACTTAGACTTATATACCGCTTTACAGTCCTTTACAGCCCTCTCTAAGCGGTTTACAGAGTCAGCATATTGCCCCCCCCCCAACAATCTGGGTCCTCATTTTACCCACCTCGGAAGGATGGAAGGCTGAGTCAACCTTGCCCCTAGTGAGATTCGAACTGCCAAATTGCAGGCAGCAGCCGGCAGGCAGCAGAAGTAGCCTGCAGTACTGCACTCTAACCACTGCGCTATCGTGGCTCGGTGTACCTAAACCTCTCCAGGGAAAAAAGGCATTGAGTGGATCAAAACCCAAGCAAAGCAGCTAATCTTTTATCTAATAATTCAGGGAGGTAAGTGGGTGACTGAATTTGAATGAGAAAAAAACCTGGCATATACTTCAGTATAAAATGTAACCGCTGGTTACATAAATTATTTTAATAAGCTTTTAATTTCTGTTGTACATTGTTTTTACCATGGCTGTTCACCTCCTTGAGTCCCTCGGCAGAAGGACGGTATATAAATATAATAAACTAACTAACTAACTAAATACAGGCACAGGTCTGTCCTCAACTTATAACAGCTCATTTGGTGACCGTTCAAAGTTACAACATCACAGAAAAAGGTGACTTACGACCATTTTTCAGACTTACGACCATTGGAAGCATCCCCACAGTCACGTAATTTACATTCCAATCCTTGACAACTGACTCACATTTATGACAGTTGCAGTGTCTGGGAGTCCTGTAATCCCCTTTGGCAACCTTGTGACAAGCAAAGTCAACTGGGAAACCAGACTCACTTTAACCATGTTATTAATTTAACAGCTGCAGTAATTCACTTAACAAACGTGGCAAGAAAAGTTGTAAAATGGGGCAAAACTCACTTAACAAATTTCTCACTTAACAACATAAATGTTGAGCTCAATTGTGATCGTTAGTTGAGGGCTACTTGTAATCTTTGATGTCAGGGTTCCGACGGATGCCCTAATTAAATCATGAGCCTCGAGCCAAGTTTCAAAAGAAATCCAGTTATTTATTAGGAGCTTCATGTTGGCACATTCCAGGTGAAGCCAACTCTGACCCCCAATTTACGCCCCAATCATGACCTGTTTCCCACCTCCCACCAGGATGTGTCATCAATCACATTCACCAACGGAGCAATTTCGAGGGCTGAAGAGATCACTCCACTCTGGCCAATTTCGAGGGCTGTAGAGATCACTCCCCTCTGGCCGCTGTGGGTAACCCTAGGAGACCGCCTTGAGAGAGATATGTCTGGAATGTATTCCTGGTTTTGGCTGCCATGCTGCTTCGTCGGTTTCCCATCCCTCTTGCCTATGGCAACTCGAGAGCAGGCCAGGGATGCTTTGCAAGTTGACACTTGACTTATAACCAGTCGCTTAAAATCTATTCAAAGTTACAACGGACCCTCTCAAAATGACCCGTTTTCAAAGTAATGATGGCCACACACACAAGTGCGCTAACACAACACACCGTAATCATTTGATTGTATTTTGAGTGCTTGGAAGTCAGCTCACGTTTATGGTGTCCTGTGGTCATATGACCAGGTTTGTTTGTTTTTTTTACTTTTTTTTGCCAGTTTCCTCCATTTACCTCCTCTGTCTAGCAAAAAATGCCTATTTGGGAAAATGGATTCACTTAACAACTCTATAGGTTGGGACCTTCCACAGATGCCACAACTTTTTTTCTGGGGAAAATTCACTGGGCGTTAAATAGCAAACTCTCTCCCTGAGTTTGGAATTCTTGTCTTCCCTGCAGAAAGGAGAGGATGAATATGCGACCATTGACGCTATTGTGGTCTCCGTGGGAGTGGACGAAGAGACCGTCTATGCCAAGTCCACGGCCCTGCAGGTAAGCCAGTCTGGGGCTGGCAATGCTTCAAGCAGTTTGGGAAAGGGGGGGTTCTCAGGTCCGGGAAAAGATCCTCATTGATCACCTGTCCTCTTCCCTCTCCCCCCCCCTTCCACTCCCCAGACGTGGCTTTTTGGCTACGAACTCACGGACACCATCATGATTTTCTGCGAAGACAAGATCATCTTTATGGCCAGCAAAAAGAAGGTGGAATTCCTGAAGCAGATTGCAAACAGCAAAAGCAACGAGAATACGAACGGGGTGCCAGCTGTCACCCTGCTTGTACGGGAAAAGGTAAATAGCACAGGATAGCAAGAGCAATATGTTCTGACCTAGGCTTCCCAAGAGCATGAAGCAGACTTCTTGTCCCGACAAAAAAAACCTTTTTATTAAGTTACTGTGAATTCCTCTCATTCACATCCAGCAAAGTCTGTCAAGGGAGAATTTACAGTCACAGACCTTATCTGGCTTGGAGAGCTGCCAGGCCAATATCGTCAAAACTTGGCAATGTGTCTCGGAGTCACGAACCAATTAAGCAAACTAATTGTCTCCTGCAAACTCCACTCCCCTTTCGCTCTTCTTTTATTCTCTATGGGAAGAGCCATTCACCGTCCACCTGCGGCTTTACTCCTGAGTCGACCCTTGTTCTTTACTGTTCCCTTCGTCTGGCAACTCTGCACATCTGCACACTGGGAACAGGCTCCACCTGTTTGCCTCACTGATGTCTGACTCCGAAGGCAGCTGATAGCTGGCATACGGCCCTGGCCCCCTCTCTGCCTCTGACGCAGAGCCCTCATCAGAGCCTTCCCCAGACTCCAGGACTGGCCCATGTTCCTCCTCAACCTCCTCAGTGTCCGAATCTGCTGCCAGCTCCACTGGTCGCTGGCGGGCCACAACACAATAGTACTCAGACTTACATACCGCTTCATAATTGCACCGCGTATTGCCCCTAACAATCTGGGTCCTTATTTCACTGACCTTGGAAGGATGAAGAGCAGAGCCATCCTTGAGCCGGTCAGGATCGAACTCCTGGTGGTGGGCAGAGTTTGCTTGCAGTGCTGCATTCTAACCACTGCACCGCCACGGCTCCTGTAAGGATATCTGTGTTCCACCTGGAATGCACAAGCTTTGGAAAAATTTTAGGAAAGCGGTGTGAGGATGGGTCTTTCGTTGTGGGTTTTAATTTAATTTAATTTAATTTAATTTCCAATTTATATACCGCCCTTCTCCCTGAGGACTCAGGGCGGTGTACAGCCAAGATAAAAAACATAGAATACAAATATTAAAAAACATTTAAAAATATATATAAATTTTGGCCCGAAAGTTAAGAAATCACAAACTAATTAAACTAATTAAAAGAATTTAAAAATTTCTTCTTAAGCCAACCCGGCTTGCTGGAAAAGATGGGTTTTCAGGGAACGACGGAAGGCATTGAGGTCATGGATTCTCCTTATCTCCGGGGGCAACTGATTCCAGAAGGTGGGAGCCCCCACCGAGAAGGCCCTCCCCCTGGGGGTCACCAGCCTACATTGTTTGGCTGATGGCACCCTGAGGAGGCCCTCTCTGTGGGAGCGCACGGGTCGATGGGAGGTCGTCAGTAGCAGCAGGCGGTCTCGCAGATAGCTAGGCCCTATGCCATGGAGCACTTTAAAGGTGATAACCAACACCTTGAAGCGCACCCGGAAGACCACCGGGAGCCAGTGCAGCTCACGCAGGTTTTAAGGTTACTTTAGGGACATGCTGGCTATTTTGAAATAATGGAGTGAAGTATTACTACCGCTTTATAAAACCCTTGACCTGGAATACTGCAACCAATTTTGGTCCCCATACTACAAAAAAGGTGTTGAGACTTTGGAAAAAGTTCAGAGAAAAGCAACTAAGATGATCCAAGGCCTGGAGACTAAAACCTATGAAGAACGGCTGCAGGATTTGAGTTTGGCTAGTCAAAAGAAAAGAATTAGGGGTGACATGATAGCAGTATTCCAGTACTTGAGGAGCTGCCACGAAGAAGAGGAGGGTCAGCTTATTCTCCAAAGCACCAGAGGGCAGGACAAGAAACGATGGTTGGAAACAAACCAAAGAGAGAAGCAACCTGGAATTAAGGAGAAACTTCCTAACAGTAAGGACAACTAACCAGTGGGATAGCTTGCCTCCAGAAATTGTGTGCTCCATCACTGGATGTTTTTAAGACAAGTCTAGACAGTCACTTGTCTGAAATATTATAAGTTCTCCTGCTTGAGCAGGGGGCTGGACTAGAAGACCTCCAAGGTCCCTTCCAACTCACTCATTCTATTACTGTGTTTTTCGGAGTATAAGACACACTTTCCCCCCCCAAAAGAGGGTGAAAATTGGGGTGCGTCTTATACACCGAATGTAGCCCTGCTGGTCCCCACCCTTTGGCCTCTGCCTCCCAGCAATTTACCTCCTTGCAGCAAACAGCCCGTTTCAGCTTCAGCACAGCCTGATTAGCACAAGCAGCCGATTGTCGGTTGGATCGGCCTCCCGACCCTCAGCTGTTTCAGGCTGCAGGGATTTCCATTGCCTATTGCTGCCTCCGTGCGCCTCCGCTGTTTGCTGCAAGGAGGCAAATTGCTGGGAGGCAGATTTTTTTTTTCTTGTTCTAATCAGACTGCTAAAAATGAAACTAAAGCAGACTGTTGGCTGTTTGCTGCAAGGAGGCAAATTGCTGGGACGCAGATTTTTTTTTTCTTGTTCTAATCAGACTGCTAAAAATGAAACTAAAGCAGGCTGTTGGCTGTTTGCTGCAAGGAGGCAAATTGCTGGGAGGCAGATTTTTTTTTTTCTTGTTCTAATCAGACTCTGCTAAAAATGAAACTAAAGCAGGCTGTTGGCCGTTTGCTGCAAGGAGGCAAATTGTTGGGAGGCAGAGGCAGATTTTTTTTTTTCTTGTTTTCCTCCCCCAAATAGGGGAGGAATAGTTTTATATTCCGAAAAATACAGTAGTCAGAGGGATTGTCCGGGATGCAAAAAGGGGCGCGGCATCCCACTCGGGTCCATCCTTGGTGAACTGTGTGGAATAAAATAAGTTTGGAGGGCTGAGGGGGGCTTAGAAATTGCTTCTCACTCAGCTCTGATTTCTTCTGTGCCCCACCTTGCTCTAGAATGAAAGCAACAAGGCCAACTTCGACAAGATGATCGACGCGCTGAAGAACAGCAAGAAAGGCAAGCGCCTTGGGGTCTTCAGCAAAGACAAATTCCCCGGGGAGTTCATGAACAGCTGGAACGACGCCCTCAGCAAGGAAGGCTTTGAGAAGGTGAGAAGAACAGACACTCGGGGTGGCAGACTACTCCGGCTCGGGGAATCTGGGGCCTTGACTCACCTTCCCCTCTAAACTCTGCTGCAGGGGGACATCAGTGCTGTGGTGGCCTACACCATGGCGGTGAAAGAGGACGGGGAACTCGGCCTGATGCGAAAAGCGGCTGCCATCACTTCCGAGGTCTTCACCAAGTTCTTGAAGGAGCGAGTCATGGAGATTGTGGACGCCGACGAGGTAAGGGGAGAAATCTGGTCACTAAACGGCTTCCGGGTGAAATGGAATATTGTGGCCTTCTGGAAAGTGGGAAAGGAGCTATCTACGTTTTATGAAGGTCATTATTCTCCCTTGGATCTAAGCATTGTTCTTTAGCGGTTTTCCCCACATACAGTAGTGGCCAAAAATTGTGGAAACCTTTTGGGAAAAGTGTATTTTCTAAAATTAGCTAATAACACCACTTTTTTTCTTGGAGTAGTACCATAAAATTATATATCGATGGAAAGATAATTTAACCAAGAATTTAATGCCATAAGTTTTATGAAGGATTTGCTATTAGAATAGCAGTTACGGTCTAAAGAAGAAGAATGAAACACGTAGAAAAAACGAGATATACAAAAATTATCACCATGTCAGTGGTGATAGTTGGGTAACCTTTAGCATAGGGACGCGGTGGCTCAGTGGCTAAGACACTGAGCTTGTCAATCAAAAGGTTGGCAGTTCAGAGGTTCGAATCCCTGGTGCCGCGTAACGGGGTGAGCTCCCGTTACTTGTCTCAGCTTCTGCCAACCTAGCAGCTCGAAAGCACCTAAAAATGCAAGTAGAAAAATAGGGACCACCTTTGGTGAGAAGGTAACAGCGTTCCGTGTGCCTTTGGCGTTTAGTCATGCCAGCCAGATGACCACGGAGACGTCTTTGGACACCGCTGGCTTTTCGGCTTTGAAACAGAGATGAACGCTGCCCCCTAGAGTCGGGAACGACTAGCACATATGTGCAAACCTTTACCTTTAACCTTTAGCCTTACAACGTCTTCCCATGGAGTGAACCAAGTCTTTTAGTTCTGCAGCTGTTACAATGTGAATCCAAGATTGAATGATTGCTTCTATTAACCGGGATTTATTGCTGGGTCGCTTCTGACTAACCAGTTTCTTTAGTCGACTCCATAGATTTTCAATTGGGTTAAGGTCTGGGCTATTCCCCAGCCATTCCAGCAGTGGAATAGGATTATCTTGAAGCTCCCCCACACACACACAAAAAGTGGTGTTATTAGCCATCAAACCTCAAAAATACACTTTTCCCAAAAGGTTTCTGCAATTTTGGCCACTACTATAGTGTGACCCATCGACTAGCAATAGCACTTAGCACTTAGAGATAAATCTCTAAGTGCGGCCGCGTGGGTGGTTAGGGGCGCAACTCATTGCGCCGACGTGACACCTCTCCTGCGCGAGCTGCACTGGCTCCCAGTGGTCTTCCGGGTGCGATTCAAGGTGTTGGTTACCACCTTTAAAGCGCTCCATGGCTTAGGACCTGGGTACCTTCGAGACCGACTTCTGCCACCAGTAGCCTCCCACCGGCCAGTCCGCTCCCACAGAGAGGGACTCCTCAGGGTGCCATCGGCCAAGTTATGTCGGCTGGCGACACCCAGGGGGAGGGCCTTCTCTGTGGGAGCTCCTGCCCTGTGGAACGAACTGCCCCCGGAAATACGCAAGATCTCCGACCTCCGTGTGTTTCGCTGTGCCCTTAAGACCCTGCTGTTCCGCCAGGCAGGGCTATCTATGTAAATGATTTTAAATTGGGTGTTTTAAATTTTGGGTTTTAAATTTGGGCCGAAATTGTTTAGTACTTTTATCTATTTTAAAACTGTTGTTTGTATCTTGTGTTTTTAATTGGCTGTACACCGCCCCGAGTCCTTCGGGAGAAGGGCGGTATATAAATTAAAAAATAAATAAATAAATAAATAAATAAATAAATAAATAAATAAATAAATTTATTTATTTATTTATTTATTTATTTATTTATTTATTTATTTATTTATTTATTTACCTACCTACCTCCCATCGACCCGTGCACTCCCACAGAGAGGGCCTCCTCGGGGTGCCATCAGCCAAGCAATGCAGGCTGGTGACCCCCAGGGGGAGGGCCTTCTCTGTGAGGGCACCCAGCCTCTGGAATCAGCTGCCCCCAGAGATAAGGAGAATCCAAGACCTCCGTGCCTTCCGCCGCGCCCTTAAAACTTTCCTTTTCCAACAAGCCGGGCTGCCCTAACAAATCCTTTTAAATGATTTTAAATTCGTATGTCTTTTAAATTTTGGGCCAAATTGAGATATTTCCTTTTAATCTGTTCTTAATGTTTGTATTATGTGTTTTTATCTGGCTGTACACCGCCCTGAGTTCCCAGGAAGAAGGGCGGTATATAAATTGGAAGTAAAATAAAATAAAATTAAATTAAATTAAATTAAATTAAATTAAATTAAATAAATAAATAAATAAATAAATAAATAAATAAATAAATAAATAAATACCATTTCACAGTGCTTTACAACACTTGAGTGGCTTACAGAATCAGCATATTGCCGCCGCCCCCCGCCCAAACAATCTGGGTCTTCATTTTTATCAACCTCAGAAGGATGATAAAAGTTCAACCTTGAGCCGGTCAGGATCTAACTTGGCAGTGAGCAGAGTCAGTCTGTAATACTGCCTTCTGTCTAATGGAGCTTCTCAGTCATCCAAGTCATGGTTGTCCCAAAGGAGCTTTTTTTCATGAGGCAACTGGACTTTCTGCTTTCTCTTTTTGAAGACGTTTCACTTCTCCTCCAGGAAGCTTCTTCAGGTCTGACTGGATGATGGAGAATGGAAAGATTTATGCTCCTTGTAGACCGCTGGTCGTTTGCAGGCTGTCGGGGATGAGTCCATGTGTCTTCACCTCAAACTGAAGTGCAAATGGTTCCTGTAGTTTGGAATTTTTCTGGAAATCCCGTCTGTCTGTCTTCAACAGCGAAGATCCTTCCATTCCCACCATCCAGTCACAGCTGAAGAAGCTGCTTGGATGAGAAGCAAAACTTCTTCAAAGAAAAACCAGAAACTCCAGTTGTCTTTTCATGGGGCATAGTGGTGAGAGTGCAGTACTGCAGGCTACTTCTGCTGCCTGCCGGCTGCCTGCAATTTGGCAGTTCAGGCTCAAGGTTGATTCAGCCTTCCATGCTTCCAAGGTCGATAAAAATAAAGACCCAAATTGTTGGGGGGCAATCTGCTGACTCTCTAAAACGCTTAGAGAGGGCGGTAAAGTGGTATATACCGTATTTTCAGACTATAAGGCGCACCTTAGATTTTGGGGAGGAAAATAAGGAAAAAGCTTATTGTGGGTGGATCGGCCTCCCGGAATACCCCTGTTCCCAGAGGTGAACTTTAGCAACAGATTATTATTATTTTTTTTAAATTTACAGCATATACTGTACACTTAAGACAAATTCCTTTTGTCTCCAATCACACTTGGCCAATAAAGAATTCTGTTCTATTCTATTCTATTCTATTCTATTCTATTCTATTCTATTCTATTCTATTCTATTCTATGTTTGATGACCTTCCAATTGTCATCATCTGGCAGAAAGTACGACACAGCAAGCTGGCCGAGTCCGTCGAGAAGGCCATCGAGGAGAAGAAATATCTCTCTGGAGCTGACCCTTCCACGGTGGAGATGTGTTACCCCCCAATTATCCAAAGTGGAGGAACTTACAATCTCAAGTTCAGTGTTGTCAGGTAGGCAAATGTGTGTAAAAATTTGCTTTTCCTTAGGAGTTCGATTAGTTTCCTCGTCGGGTGGAGGAATAAATGACATTTCTAGAGTTTAACCCTCCCGACTTCTGAATATGCAAAAAGGTTTAGAATAATAGAATTAACAGAGTTGGAAGGAACCTTGGAGGTCTTCTAGTCCGACCCCCTGCTCAAGGAGGATATTGGGTACCATTTCAGACAAAAGGTTGTCTAGTCTCTTTTTGAGAGCCCGCCATAATGGAGCATCCATCACTGTGGTTTGTCAGTGGTTTGTAACCAACCATTAACCGATCCTGGTTTGCCATGGAAATAAATCCTGTTTACAAATGTGATGTGCGTAATTATAATCAGGAATTACAGTCCATATTCCTCTTCCACACAGAATGGGAAGACAGAACATAGGAATGATAATTATAATGTGAATGATTATAATAGGAAGTTATTATATCGCCCATATTCCTCTTCCACACAGAATGGGAAGACGGAACATAGGAATGATAAATATAATGTACATAATTATAATAGGAGTAATTCTACAGTCCATATTCCACTTCCACACAGAATGGGAAGACGGAACATAGGAATTATAAATATTTTCATTGGGTTAGCTTTTATTTACTCGTGCCATGTCTCCCATTTGCTCCTTCCACAAATGTCTATGTTGATTCTCATTCATCCAGTTCATGCTTTTTCAAGCAGCAACTGGACTTTTTCTTTTTAGTTTGAAGACGTTTCGCTTCTCACCCAAAAAGCTTCTTCGGTTCTGACGGGTCACAAACCACGGTGACAGGTCAGAACTGAAGAAGCTCCTTCGATCAGAAGCGAAACGTCTTCAAGGAAAAACAAAAGTCCAGTTGCCTCTTGAAAAACCACCTTTGGAATAACCATGACCTGGATGACTGAGAATCTCAATAGACATTTGTGGAAGGAGCAAAAAGAAACATGGCAGGAGTAAATAAAAGCCAACCCAGTGAAAATATTTATAATTTCTACAGTAGTGGCCAAAATTGTGGAAACCTTTTGGGAAAAGTGTATTTTTGAGGCTTGATAGCTAATAACACCACTTTTTTTTTTTTTGGCGTTTCAAGATAATCCTATTCCACTGCTGGAAAGGCCTGGGAATAGCCCAGACTTTAACCCAAATTAAAAATCTATGGAGCCGACTAAAGAAACTGGTTAGTCAGAAGCGACCCAGCAATAAAACCCAGTTAACAGAAGCAATCATTCAATCTTGGTTTCACATTCTAACAGCTGCAGAACTAAAAAGACTTGGTTCACTCCATGGGAAGATGTTGTAAGGCCGTAATTCATGCTAAAGGTTACCCAACTAAGTATTAACTGACATAGTGATCATTTTTGTATATCTCGTTTTTTCTATGGTGATAATTTTTGTGTATCTCATTTTTTTCTATGTGTTTCACTTTTCTTTTTTATACCGTAATTGCTATTCTAATAGCAAATCCTTCATAAAAGTTATGGCATTACATTCTTGATTAAATTATCTTTCCATTGATATATAATTTGATGATACTATTCCAAAAAAAGAGACCTGGTAGCTCAGTGGCTAAGACGCTGAGCTCATCGATCGAAAGGACGGCAGTTCAGCAGTTCAAATCCCTAGTGGCGCATAACAGGGTGAGCTTCCGTTACTTGTCCCAGCTTCTGCCAACCTAGCAGTTCGAAAGCAGGTTAAAAAGGCAAGTAGAAAAATAGGGACCACCTTTGGTGGGAATGTAACAACATTCTATGCGCCTTTGGTGTTTAGCCATGCCAGCCACATGACTACGGAGACGTCTTCGGACAGCGCTGGCTCTTTGGCTTTGAAACAAAGATGAGCATCGCCCCCTAGAGTCGGGAATGACTAGTACATAGATGCGAGGGGAACCTTTACCTTTACTCTCCAAAAAAAAGTGGTGTTGTTAGCTAGTTTTAGAAAATACACTTTTCCCAAAAGATTTCCACAATTTTGGCCGCTACTGTATGTTCCGTCTTGAAGAAAGCACCTTTGGGTTTGCTCCTTCCAAGAAAGTCAAGAGCAACGTAAATCATCTGAACGAGATCTTCAAAAAGTTCAAACACTGTGCCGGTTTCCGGTTTCTAACCTTTGGCCTCCTTGCCCCTCAGCGAGAAGAGCTACATGCACTTTGGGACCGTCACTTGTGCCATGGGCATACGTTACAAATCGTACTGCTCCAATCTGGTGCGCACCCTCATGGTGGACCCGCCTCAGGAAACCCAGGACAACTACGCCTTCCTGCTGCAACTGCAGGAGGAGATGCTGAAGGAATTGCGGCACGGTGAGTGGGGGAAAAAAAGCTGGGGCCCCATGGATGCCCCCCCCCACGCCTCGCCAAAAAGAGCCGTGTCTCCTCTTGAGGGTGGAGCCCCGCCTTCCGTGCCTCTGATCTGCTTCCCGTTGACATTAGGTGCAAAGCTGTGCGAGGTCTACGCCGCTGTCATGGATATGGTGAAGAAGCAGAAGCCGGAGCTCTTGAGCAAAATCACCAAGAACTTGGGGTAACCAGCGTTTCCCTCCCGAGGAACTTCAGAGAAGTTGAGCTCCGATGTAAACGTCCTTAGGAGGACTCATCCTTTCTTCTTCCCTAGGTTTGCCATGGGCATTGAGTTCCGAGAGGGATCCCTCGTCATCAATAGCAAAAACCAGTACCGCCTCAAGAAAGGTGAGACTCGGGTAGGCGGGTCCTGTAAAGTGACGGGGGCGGGTCCTGTGTTCTCAATTCAATCCATCCATCGGAATAGAGCTGGAAGGCACCTTGGAAGTCTTCTAGTCCAACCCCTTGCAACAGAGATACTATATCATTTCCATGATACTATATATCAGTGATGGCTAACTTTTTTGCCGTCGCGTGCCAAAAGAGGGGGGGAGCGTGCCGGGGGTGTGTGTCACACACGTGCATGCCCATACCCATAATTTAATGCCCTCCCGCACATGCGTGCGCACTCCCCCCGCTTCTGGCACATGACGGCAAAAAGGTTACGAGTGAGCCTGGTAGGCCCGTTTTTCGCCCTCCCCAGGCACCAGAGGCTTTTTTGGGGCCTGGGGAAGGCAAAAATGGCCTCTCCCAACCCCCCAGAGGCCCTCTGGTGGCCGGAAATGGCCCGAAAATCAGCTGGCCGGCGTATGCATGCATGTTGGAGCTGAGCTAGGGCAACACTCACGTGCCCACAGATACGCCCACAGGTTCACCATCACGGCTATATATCATTTAACAAAGAGTCTGTCGAGTCTTCTTTCTTAAAAACCTCCAGGGATGAAGCACCCACAACTTCTGCTTAATTGTCCTCACTGTTAGGAAGTTTCTCCTTAATTCTAGGATGCTTCTCCCCTTGATTTGTTGCCATCCATTGTTTTTTGTCCTGCCCTCTGGTGCTTTGGAAAATACATTGCCCCCCCCCCCCCCCCACTCACTCTTAACAAGCATTGTTAGAGACCCCACACACCCACTTTCTGTTTCTGATGCTCCCTTCTGGGAGGAGGTTTTGAATTATTTCTAGCAGGACTATAATATAATATTATTATATGGTCATATAATAATACATGTGGGTATATGTTATCTCTCTCTCTCTCTCTCTCTCTCTCTCTCTCTGTCTCCTCCTATCTACCTACCTACCTACCAGGGGTGGGTCCTACTTACTTTTACTGCCGGTTTGCAGTGGGGCCACTGCACCCCAGAGTGGGCGGGATCTTAATTAGGGCTAATTTTGTGGGTATACGCACATGCGCAGAAGCATTTTGGTGACATTGGGGTCGATGGGCAGGGCCACCCGCCGGTTTTATTAATGGTTCTATAGAACCGGTGCGAACCGGGGGCAACCCACCACTGCTACCTACCTATCTACCTACCTATCTATCTATCTATCTATCTATCTTATATATATACCGTATTTCTCCAAAAAGACGACCCACCTTGAAAAAACCCGCCCACCCCGGAGTGCAGGGGATGGGACAAGGCACACAGCTAAAAAAATAAGCTAGGGTGGGGATGGGGGGGGTGGAGCTGCCCTATTTACTCGCACACCCCGACACCTGCCTCGCCTTCTTCTGCGGCCACTTGCCGCCACTCGCACGCATCGCCCCGGCCTCCCGTTTCGCCTTCAGATGTCTGCCGGAAGGCATCTGCAGCCGATAACAGAGCTCCGGCCAGGGCGACGCGTGCGAGTGGCAGCAAGGGGCTCCTGCTGGGCGGGGCTGTCAGTGCCACCGCCACGAGGTGAGTCAATAATTAGAACCCTCCAAAAAGAAGCCGATAACAGAGCTCCAGATCGATGTACGCACACACACGCACACACACACACATACATACGTTTATGTAGTGGAGATTGGAGGCAGTGGCCCTTTGAGAGCTGCATGCAACGGAATTTCATTTTAAAGTATGCCGATTAGTGTGCATTCAAAGGAGTCTTAAGACACGTACACCTTTGTGGTGGGTAGGGAGTCCGGCGTCCCCTTGTAGGTAGCTGGTTGACTGATGAAGCTGTGCTCTCTCTCTCTAGGGATGGTGTTCAGCCTCAACGTTGGCCTCTCTGACTTGCCCAACCGGGAAGGGAAGAAACCTGAGGAGAAAACCTATGCCCTGTTCATCGGGGACACTGTGTTGGTGGAAGAGGTGGGTGCAAAGGCAGCGAGAAGTGACGGGGAGATGTGACTGGTTGTTGCTGTTGCTGTTTGTTAGATCCGAAGTCGTGTCCGATCCATCGCGACCCCATGGACAACGTTCCTCCAGGCCTTCCTGTCCTCTACCATCCTCTGGAGTCCATTTAAGCTCATGCCGACTGCTTCAGTGACTCCATCCAGCCACCTTGTTCTCTGTCGTCCCTTTCTTCTTTTGCCCTCAATCTTTCCCAGCATTAGGCTCTTCTCCAGTGAGAAGAGCCTAATGCTCTGTTTAGCTAAACCAGTGGAGCCTGGTTTAGCTCAACAGACAGAAGCACTGTAATTTAACACCAGCTGCCTGCAATTAAAGTAAGATCGAATCTCGCCAGGCTCAAGGTTGACTCAGCCTTCCATCCTTTCTAAGGTAGGTAAATTGAGGACCCAGTTTGTGGGGGCAATAAGCTGACTTTGTATAAAATATACAAAAGTATGAAGGCTATTGCTTAACGCACTGTAAGCCGCCCTGAGTCTCCGGAGAAGGGCGGCATATAAATCAAATTTAAAAAAAAAAAATTCTTCCTTCTCATTAGGTGACCTGTTAGTACCCTGTTTCCCCGAAAATAAGACCTAACTGGAAAATAAGTCCTAGCATGATTTTTCAGGATGGTCGTAATATAAGCCCTACCCCCAAAATAAGCCCGAGTTAAGATTGTCAGCCTGATGGATGCATTTAGTACTGTATTTCCCCCCCAAATAAGACCTAACCAGAAAATAAGCCCTAATGCGCCTTTTGGAGCAAAAATTAATATAAGACCCGCTCTTATTTTTGGGAAAACATGGTTTTTGAGTTTCCTCTTCAGGATCTGGCCTTCTAAAGAGCAGTCAGGGTTGATCTCCTCTAGGACTGACCGGTTTGATCGCCTTGCAGTCCAAGGGACTCGCAGGAGTCTTCTCCAGCACCAGAGTTCAAAGGCCTCAATTCTTTGACGCTCAGCCTTTCTTATGGTCCAACTTTCACAGCCACACATTGCAACTGGGAAAACCATCGCCTTGACTATACGCACTTTTGTTGGCAAGGTGATGTCAGCAGGTGGAAAGTTTTGGAAAGTTTTGGCTTTGTTTCCAATGAAGGGGTTTCTCCTTGTCTTCAGTTAATAGTCTGCCCTGCAAAGACAGCAATTCCTCTATTGTTAAAGCCTAGGTTGAGGGACACATTCACACATTCCCTTATTCCAGGAGTGAAATCCAACAGGTTCTGACAGGTTCTGAAGAACCGGTAGTGGAAATTTTGAGGAGTTCGGAAAACCGGCAAATACCACCTCTGGCTGGCCCCAGAGTGGGGTGGGAATGGAGATTTTGCAGTCTCCTTCCCCTGCCATGTCCACCAAGCCACACCACGTCCACCAAGCCACGCCCACAGAACCGGTAGTAAAAAAAATTGAATCTCATCACTACCTTATTCCATATATTCCACACACAGGTAGTCCTTCACTTACGGCAGTTCGCTTAGTGACCGTTCGAAGTTTCAACGGCGCTGGGAGAAAAAGGGACTTTATATCCAGTTTTTACACTTAACGACAGTTGCAGGTTACGTGATCAACATTCCGATCCTTGGCAATTCGAATGTTGCTTGACTATATTTGGGACGGTTGCCATGTCCCTTGGGTCATGTAAATCCCTTTTTGCTACCTTCTGACGAGCAAAATCGACGGGAAAGCCAGATTCACGTAACAATGGTGTTACGAACATAACCGCGGTGATTCACTTAGCAACTGTGATCAGAGGAGGTCAGAAAAGGGTGCAAAATTCACTTGTCTGTCTCACTTAGCAACAGAAATTATGGGCTCAAGTGTGGTCCTAAATCGGGGACTACCTGTAATCTGTCTGGAATATTGTTTTAATCATCCTCTTTTAACGATCCCATAATTGGGGTGGGGGGTGGAGTCTGGGCAACTGAAGGGAGCTGAGTGTTTACTGGCTGGATGCCCTTCCTGTCACCAACACGGAGGTTTTTTTTCAACAGATGTATTCCCAGTGTGCCCAGAGAGAGAAATATCTGCCTCTATCTAGGACCCCCTAATACCACCAATAGGCTCCCACTGGCTGGTACGCTCTCATAGAGAGGGGCTCCTCCGGGTGCCGTCGACCAAACAGTGTCGACTGGCGGCCCCCAGGGGGAGAGCCTTCTCTGTGGGGGCACCCGCCATCTGGAACGAGCTCCCCCCGGAGATACGGAGGATCCCGGATCTGCGCACCTTCCGCCGTGCTCTTAAGACCTTTTTATTCCACCAGGCGGGCCTGGCCTAATTTTCTCCCTCTTTTTAAATAATTTTTTAATATTTTTTAACATTTTTAATATTTAAAGTTTAATTTGTTTTAAATTGATTGGGGTTTTGTCCAATCTGTCTGGGCCAAACTATTTAATTCGATTTTATTTCTGCTTTTTAAATTTTGTACGTATGTATTTTATTGTTGGCTGTTCACCGCCCTGAGTCCTTCGGGAGTAGGGCGGTATATAAATCAAGTAAAAGTAAAAGTAAAGACCATAACCGTGGTGATTCACTTAGCAACTGTGATAAGAACAGTCAAATTTCACCAGTCTGTCTCACTTAGCAACAGAAATTTTGGGCTCAAGTGTAGTCATAAATTGAGGACTACCTGTGATCTGTCTGGAATATTTTTTAAATCATCCTCTTTTAACGATCCCATAATTGGTGGGGTGGAGTTTGGGCAACTGAAGGGAGCTGAGTGTTTACTGGCCGGATGCCCTTCCTGTCACCAGAGCAGAGGTTTTTTCGGCAGATATATTCCAGTGTGCCCAGAGAGAGAAATATCTACCTGTACGTAACATTGAACAAACAGCCTCCTGATTGGGAGGCGAGAGCTCCACCTCTAGGCCACCGCACCAGTCTCTGGTATATTTTTTAATGAGTTCTAATATTACTTTCTGAGTGTTAGAGGAAGGAAGAAAAGTCAGAAATTAGTCTTTGAGATTTCGGGGGGGAAATTGGTGAAGTGGCAGCTGGAAAGCATCGAAGGCAGATTGTCCCCTTTCAGCAAATTCCACACACAAAAAAAAAACCCTTCCTGCTTTCTTTCTGTTTGTTCTGTGGTCGACTTAGTCCTCTACTTATGACCACAACTTAGCCCAGAATTTTATGTTGCTAACTGAGTTTTGCCCCATTTTACGACTGTTCTTGCCACCTTTGTGAAGTGAATCACTGCCGTTGTTAAAGCAGTAACACAGCTGTTCAGTGAATCTGACTTCCCCGTTGACTTTGCTTGTCAGAAGGTCGCAAAAGGGAATCACGCGGCCCGCAACGGTCGTAAGTGTGAAAAACAGTCAAAAGTCCCTTTTATCCGGTGCCGTTGTAACTTTGAACGGTCACTAAATAAATTGTAAGTCAAGGATTACCTGTATAAGGGCAAACGCTAATTCCAGCTGAGGGAGGAGAACCCGGTCTGTCGGGAAATCCAGCCTGCAGCTGTTTCTCTGCTATGTCTATGGAGGTTCTCCGTCATCCAGGTCACGATTGTTCCAAAAGGGCTTTTTTCAGGAGGCAACTGGACTGTCTGGTTTTCCTTTGAAGATGTTTTCCTTCTCATCCAAGGAGCTTCTTCAGCTCTGACTGGATGGTGGGGAATGGAAGGATTTATACTCCTTCCAGATGGTCATTTGCATCCTTTTAGAGAGTCGTTGAGGCCACTTGTAATCCAAAGGTGCTTTTTTCAGGAGGCAGCTGGACTGTCTGGTTTTCCTTTGAAGATGTTTCCTTCTCATCCAAGGAGCTTCTTCAGCTCTGACTGGATGGTGGGGAATGGAAGGATTTATACTCCTTCCAGATGGTCATTTGCATCCTTTTAGAGAGTCGTTGAGGCCACTTGTAATCCCAAAGGTGCTTTTTTCAGGAGGCAACTGGACTGTCTGGTTTTCCTTTGAAGATGTTTTCCTTCTCATCCAAGGAGCTTCTTCAGCTCTGACTGGATGGTGGGGAATGGAAGGATTTATACTCCTTCCAGATGGTCATTTGCATCCTTTTAGAGAGTCGTTGAGGCCACTTGTAATCCCAGAGGTGCTTTTTTCAGGAGGCAACTGGACTGCCTGGTTTTTCTTTGAAGATGTTTTCCTTCTCATCCAAGGAGCTTCTTCAGCTCTGACTGGATGGTGAGGAAGGGAAGGATTTATACTCCTTGCAGACAGCTGGTCATTTGCATCCTTTTAGAGAGTCACTGGCCGGGACGCAGTGGCTCAATAGCTAAGACGCTGAACTTGTCGATCGAAAGGTCGGCCGTTCAGCGGTTCGAATTTTTTGAAATGCAATTTATTTGAGAAGACCTCGAAACCTGACAGCTTCTTCAGCTCTGACCGGATGGTGGGGAATGGAAGGATTTATACTCCTTGCAGACAGCTGGTCATTTGCATCCTTTTAGAGAGAGTCACTGGCCGGGACGCAGTGGCTCAATAGCTAAGATGCTGAACTTGTCGATCGAAAGGTCGGCCGTTCAGCGGTTCGAATCCCTAATGCCACGTAACGGGGTGAGCTCCCGTTACTTGTCCCAGCTTCTGCCAGTCTAGCAGTTCGAAAGCACGTAAACAATGCGAGTAGAAAAATAGGGACCATCTTTGGTGGGAAGGTAACGGGGTTCCGTGCGCCTTTGGCGTTGAGGCATGCCGGTCACATGACCATGGAGACTTCTTCGGACAGCGCTGGCTCTTTGGCTTTGAAACAGAGATGAGCACCGCCCCCTAGAGTCGGAAACAACTGGCACATATATGCGAGGAGAACCTTTACCTTTAGAGAGTCGCTGAGGCCACCTGGAGGTTTATCTGTGTCCTCAGGGTCACCTGAGTGGTGCAAATGGGTTTCTCTGCTATATATATTTTTTTTTTAATCCTCTCAGGAAGGTCCAGCTACTCTCCTCACGTCTGTCAGAAAGAAGGTGAAGAACGTCAGCATTTTATTAAAGGTGAGTCCAAAACTCGACGGAGTCCAGAAAAAGCAGAAGAGCTTTGAAAGAACTTGACGAGGGGGGCAGGGGCCGAACAGATATGTCAGCTCTAGATTCCTTTCCCGTTTTTGGGGGGATGTCACATTTTCAGTTCTTAACTGGGTCACTCTCAACAGATAAGGGCTTCGTGGGTGTTTTACATTTTCAAACATCAGTTCAAAAAGGGCGTTTAAGAACCACGACGAGAACGTTTTTCCTAAAACTTGCCTTTTCGGCATGAAAAATGTCTACATTTTATGAGAAGTTTCTAATGAGGGCAGTCCTTGACTTAGGAACGGTCGCTTAGCAACTATTCAAAGATTTCTTTTCTTTCAGTACAAACATTTCATCTTTCATTAAACAGTGTGTCGTCTGGGTACAAACATTTTGTGCAATAACAAAGTTTACAACCATATTCATTATTTATATCTATTCTTAGATTAATATTAATATATAACATACCGATTGTATATAGCATTTTTCTTCTTAGCTTATTTAACTTTGTAATACATTTTCCATATTTCACTCCTCTGCTTTTATTTCTAATTTTCATATTTATTCTCTAACCATGGATAAAATAACTCTCATATACTATAATAGTCAGATTCTTCCTTTCCTTTAATTGCGAGTGTTAATCTATTCATTTCTGCACATACTAATATTTTCCTAATCACATTCTCATCCGTAGGGATCTCTTTGCTTTTCCAATTTTGTGCAAATACAATTCTAGCTGCAGTTATTACATGAATAATCAAGTATACATTTTCTTTACTGTAAGTTTCTGGTAAAATCTCCAACAAGAACAATTCAGGTTTAAGATCAATGTGTTGTTCTGTCATCTTCTCCAACCACATATGAATTTTTGCCCGGTATTTTTTTTGCTTCTACACATGTCTACCACATATGGTAATACGACCCCGGAACCATTCAAAGTTATGACGAGCCTCCCCAAGAGTACTTACAAACCAGTTTTGTAAAACTGGGCCCTCCCACGTGGTCTCATGGCCACATTTTGCGATGTTCTTGTCCAAAACCAGCCCCTAGTGAACCAGGACTTTGGCATTCACTTAATGACTGCCAGAAAACGGATCATGAAATCAAGCCGGTCACATGGGGTGATCTGCTTTGCGACCCTGACGGGCAGGCGTCACTACAGTCAGAAGTCAAGGACCATCTGTATTGCACAATATGTTTGGAAAGCAAAAAAATCTGCCCTTTTCAAACAAGATGTCCCTTATGTAATGTTTATGTCGTTTTTCTCCTTTTCGTCACAGAAAGAGGATGAGGAGGAAGAGGAAGAAGAAGATGATACGGAAGGAATCCTTGTGCGTGGTTCGCGGGTAGCCCTGCTGCCAGAAAGAACCCGGGTAAAGAAATTTAGATGGGTTGAGGGCAGAGGGGGGAGGGAGTTGTATCATGTATCTGAAAAAACTGTCTTCACTTGAGATATTGCTTAGCTCAGTGGTTGGGCCATACTTCCTCAAGCTTTTCCCCCCAACACACACACACAAAACACCACAACTGTTGGGACTATAACTCCCAGATTTCTCTGCCCGCCCAACAGCAGGCTAAGTGTTGTGGCCTGTCAGTCAGCAGCCGAATCAGATGAGGAGGAGGCGTGAAAGCCAGAGTCAGGATCAAGACAGTCTGAGAGCTCCGAGGGGGAAGAAGGAATGGAGGTGTCAGAGAGAAAGAGAGAGAGAGGCGGAGCCTGGGCCGTCCGTCAGCCCTCAGATGAGAGAGTCAACAGCCCCCATGTCTGGAAGTGGCCGATGAGGAAGAGGAGGAACAGCTGGGTCCAGTACCTGACGTGCAGATGCGCAGAAGGCAGAGGAGAGGAGAGCAGTGGAAATCTATGGACTGATCCTTGGGAAGGAAGAGCCACCACTGCTAGCGAAGCCCCACCCTAGTTCTGGGGATAAAAGGCAGAAGGCGGAGATGAATAGATGCGGCAGACAACTATTCATCTCCCTGCCGGACAGACTTGTTAGCCTGCGGTGAGAGAGATACTTTTTGCCGGGGCTGCTGGCGGTCCTAATAAAAGAATCATTGATTTAACTTCAGAGGGTTTCTCGTGTTTGGGGAGCTGGGTCACCGAGGTAGTAATTGGACGGAGAGAGGGATCTTCCGATGCTTTGTGAGCAGCAATCATTCCATCTTTCCAGAATGAACTGACGGCTGAAGAGAAACGCCGGGCACATCAGAGAGAGCTGGCCGCGCAGCTAAACGAAGAAGCCCGGAGACGCTTAACGGAACAAAAAGGGGAGCAGCAGATCCAGAAGTAAGAATTGTATGCGGGTGGGAGCAATAATGGGTTTCTCCTGTTTTCCAACCTGGGGGCCATGTCACATGCAGCCAAAGAGCTGCTCCTGGTCATACAGGACAAGAAAGCGTCTCTCTTTCCAAAAATAATTGAGCTGACCGATTAGAACGGAATATTTGTCGCTCAGGGTTGAACATTGGGATCCTTCATACTCTCTGAGACGGGTGGTTTACTTATAGATGTTTCATTACCTGACTAGATGACATTGTCACACTGATGACGTTACTTAGTTCGGTAATGAAACATCAGCAATACAGGTAGTCCTCAAGTTACAACAGTTCAGTTTTAGAGGAGTGAAATTCACATCTCAAGGGTAGGCAGCTATTTAAAAATGGGAGGCGTTATAGATTTTTTTTGAATTGGAAGAAGGAAATACAGGAGTTCAACTTATAACAGGAACCTTATAACCCTGAAGCTGGCCTGACCGAAGCCATTTTGATCGCTTCGGCGTTGCCAAGTTCATTTAGGGACCGTTCAAAGTTACAACGGCCCTGAAAAAAGGGACTGATGAGCGTTTTTCACATTTACAACCTTTGCTGCATCCCCACTGTTAAGGATATTGTTGTTGTGTTACCAACCAGCAGGGTGTAGAGCACAGAGAAACGTTGCTGAGAGCAATGAATAAGAGCTGTGCAAACTGGTTTATCAAAAGTTTACTTTATAGTGAAAAAACAATCTCATCGTCTTTAAATCAATCCAAGTCTTTGCCAGTTAAATCAGTCCAGTGATACAAAGATCTTCTTACCACACAAACAGTAGTTGGTTAGAATAACAAACTCACTCTGGTTCAGAAACCATGATGGTAGCAGATCCATCCAGCAATGATAGCACAATGGTAGCAACTCCACACACTATGGTAGCATATCATCAACTGCATACGTTACAGTACCTTTCTTAAATATGTTTACAACTAGTGATTATCTAATTACAGCACGACTCAGCATTACAATGAATCAGCAGTAAAACTTTGAAGTCACATAATACATATTCATATTAAAGTCACAGAACACATATATTGCCTGGACAACTTGTTAGGCTCAAACCATATCCTAACACCCACGATCATGGGATTCCCTTTTGCGAACTTCATGGGGAAACCAGATTCACTTCACAACTGGGTTACTAACTTATCAACCGCAGTGATTCACTTAACAGCCGAGGCAAGAAAGGTCGTAAAATGGGGCAAAACTCACTGAACAAATTAGGCTGTTGGGTTGAGCTCCGCGCTTGGCAGTTTGGTTGCAAACATTTCATCGCCATTCGAGGAGACATCGTCGATGCGTTTCGAGTTGTGCTCTTCTGTCAGAACACCCGTCTTTAAAAACCTTTTTATGAGATGCAAATTAGTCTGAATGTTGTTTGTTCGGCTATTTTTTGAGTCATGGTCTGTTCGATTGGCTGGCTGTTGTTGCTGGGCTATTGTTCTGTCCCCCTTCCCCACACAGACAAACACACAACCAGGCACACCTGCCAAGATTTTATTAAGCAATCAGACTAGAAACCCTTGCAGATAAGAGTTTTGGCAGTAAACTGCGGAATGCCTGCCAAGTCAGTTTTCACACACAGTAAGCAAGAGAGAGTTTATCCTCAGTCCGGTTCAGTAGCAAAAAGTAATCCACGAAGCAAGAGTTAGCCAAGGTCCAATCCAAATATGCACAAGCCAGATTTCAGGTAATGCGATGTGACTCTCAGGTTTTTTAACTTTGACCGTCACAAAGCCTGAAGAGCAATCACACCCACTTTTATTCCTTGTGGGGTGTGGCTCAGTGACTCAGCTCATTCTCTGGCCCTCCCACGCCTCTTTCGTTGCTGCGCACGCTTCTCCCTCCGATGCTGCCTGGGATCAAGCCAGGATTCATCATCCTCACTCCCTACCTGTTGTTCCGATATGCTTTCCTCCTGGTACATCCCAGGCTGTTCTTCTTGGCCTTCGGATGGAACCTGAGGCATTGCCAGAGAGGAGGGTCCTGGAGAGGGAGGCCTTATCAGTTCCTCCCCATCACCTTCTGAGTCCTCTTCCTCTGTTAAGACAGGCTCGGGAGTCGAGGTCACAACAGCTATAGTTAAGTACCTTCTGTGTGATGCAGATTAGGATCAGATGGATCACTGAACAAATGTCTCATTTAACAACAGAAATTTTGGGCTCAATTGTGATTGTCAGTTGAGGACTATCTGTACAACCACTAAGCATAAGAGCACCAAGGGCCCCCATACGTGAGTTTGCTTGCCTCTCTGCAAGCCATTGTTCTGACCTAGGCTCCCTTAAAAAGCATGAAGCAGAGTCTTGGTCTTGGCAAAACCCCTTTTATTTACACGACTGTGAATTCCTCTCATTCGCAGTCAGCAAGTCTTGGCAAACAGTCTTTCAGAGGAATATTTATCAACACAAACCTTATCTCGCTTGGAAAGCTGCCAGATAACTAATTTCCAAATGCAGTGAAAGGCAAAACTTGGCACAGAGTCTCTTAGAGTCACAAACAGAACTTTTCACTCTTAAACCGACCGATCGACCGAATTGTTTCCTGCAAAAGCCCACTCCCTGTTCACTTCTCTTTTGTTTCCTATGGGAGGGGCCAATCACCTCCAAGGTGTGGCTTTACTCCCAAGTCGACCCTGCTTCCTTAGTTGTCTTTTGGCAGCTCTGCGCATGCGCACACTGGGAACAGGCTTCAGCTGTTCCTCTGCCTCGCTGCTTTCTAGTTCCCTCTCTACCTCCGACGCAGGGCCCTTGTCCGAGCTTTCTCCAGCCCCCAGGACTGGCCCAAGTTCCTCCCCAACCTCCTCACTGTCTGACTCTGCTGCCAGCTCCGCTGGCCGCCGGCGGGCCACAACAGCCATGTTCCCTGAGGTCTGTAGGAGATGTCTGGGAACCTTCTACCCTGTTAGATTTTTTTTTATTCTTTCTGCTTCTTCGCAGAGCCCGCAAGTCAAACGTGTCCTATAAGAACCCGTCTCTGATGCCCAAAGAACCGTACATTCGGGAGATGAAGATTTACATCGACAAGAAGTACGAGACTGTCATCATGCCCGTTTTCGGCATTGCTACTCCATTCCACATCGCTACCATCAAGGTAAACGAGGACTTCCGTTCCTTGGGCTAGAGTGGGAAAGGGAGGCTTACCCCTCAAGTTTTAGGAAGGTGCGATCCAGGAGAATTAGGAGCAGGGAATGGCTTCGAAAGGGAAACGGCTGAAACGTGATTGTTGTGATGCCCAAGAAAAAAAAGGATAAGCAAAGGTTATTTCTTTGTGTATATATATCTAGATCTATCTATATCTATCTATCTATCTATCTATCTATCTATCTATCTATCTATCTATCTATCTATCTATCTATCTATCTATCATCTATCCATCATCAATCCATCATCTATCCACCTATCTATCTATCTATCTGTCTATCTATCTATCTGTCTATCTATCTATCTATCTATCATCTATCCATCATCAATCCATCATCTATCCACTATCTATCTATCTATCTGTCTATCTATCTATCTGTCTATCTATCTATATAGAGAGAGTATATGTATATATATAGATAGATAGATAGATAGATAGATAGTTTGGAGAACCAACAAATACCACCTCTGGCTGGCCCGAGAGTGGGGTGGGAATGGAGATTTAGCAATATATCCTTCTGTTTGTGATCTTGGGAAGAGGGCTGGGCATAGAAAGGGCCACCCTGTCATTGGAGGGGGAGGAGACCTCAGATGCTTCAGATTGTGCTGCAGGGCAGAAATTCAGCAGATTCTGACAGGTTCTGGAGAACCGGTAGTGGAAATTTTGAGTAGTTTGGAGAACCAGCAAATACCATCTCTGGCTGGCCCGAGTGGGGTGGGAAGGAAGATTTTGCAATATCCTTCCCCCCAGGAGTGGGGAGGGAATGGGGATTTTGCAGGATCCTTGCCTGGAGTGGAGTGGGAATGGCGATTTTGCAGGAGCCGTCCCCTGCCACGCCCAACAAGCCACGCCCACAGAACCAGTACTAAAAAAAATTGAATTCCACCATTGGTGTGCTCCCTCCTCTGGAGGAGAAGAGGGGAATCAACCTATTCTCTAAAACAGGGGTGTCAAACTCGATTTCATTGAGGGTCGCATCAGGGTTGGCTTGGGGGCGTGACCAGGGGGCGTGTCCAATGTCCAATTGACATTAGGGGCACAGGGGTGTGGCCGGGTTGGGCGTAGCAATATTCACGTCACTCGTGTCGTGGCCTAGGCACTCTGCCAGCGAAAATGGGCTTCCAAGCTCCGTTTTTGGCTGGGATGGCCTCCTGCAGCCATCTGCCAGCAAAACGGAGCTCGGGAGGGCCGCATGCAACCCTCGCGAGCTCCGTTTTTTGCTGGGACAGCCTCCTGCAGCCCTCTGCCAGCGAAGGGCTCCATTTTCGCTGGCAGAGGCACCACGGGCTGGTCCTTTACTGTTTCCAGGGCAGCCCCTCGGGCCAGATTTAAGCACCCCACAGGTCTGATCCAGCCCACGGAGCTTGAGTTTGACACCCCTGCTCTAAAGCACCCGAGGGCAGGACAAAAAAGCAATGGATGAAAACTAATCAAGGATAGAAGCAATCTGGAACTAAGGAGAAATTTCCTGACAGTGAACACAATTATTCAATGGAATGGCTTTCCTCCAGAAATTCTGGGAGCTCTATCACTGGACGTTTTTAAGAAGAGATTGGACAGCCATTTATCCAGAACGTTATAGGGTCTTCTGCTTGAACAGGGGGTTGGACTAGAAGACCTCAAAGAGCCATTCCAAGTGTTGTGATTGTTTGTTATTGTGGTTTTCTCATGCAGAACATCAGCATGTCGGTAGAAGGTGATTACACTTACCTGAGGATCAACTTTTACTGTCCAGGCAGTGCCTTGGGTCGCAACGAGGGCAACATCTTTCCTAACCCAGAAGCCACTTTTGTAAAAGAAATGTGAGTTAATGCCTTCCCGGGCAATTGCGATTAGGAAGGTTCTTACAATGATGGCAGTTTGTGTGTTTCTACCTGGACTGCAGGGCTGGTATTCTTGAGTTGATTGTCTTGAGTTAGAGCCCATGCCTTGATGAGAAACCAGAGGCCTTCTTGGATATTGTGGATCTAATGAATGGAAATTCCTGAAGGTCCAGAGTTTAGGTAGTCTTCCTCCCCCTCCTTCATGCTCCTAACATAACAGGGGCAGCTTCATTAGCTTCGGAGAAATGTGGGGAGGAGCAGGCCGAGTCAGCCCAGGGCCTTTCAGGATTGGGACAGCTTGTTAGCAGGGAGGAATGGGGGCAGGATGACCGAGAGAGGGCAAGCAGTGGACGTGAGGAGCGACAGAGCTCAGGCGATGAGCAAGGACCGCCCCCTCCTGATCCCCAAGCATGGAGAGTGGAGAGAAGGCAGAAACAGCGCAGGCTGACCCGACTACTTGGGAGGAGAGAGCCCCACCCCTCTTCACAAGGCACACCTGGGGACTGAGATTTAAGGAGACTCTGTGGGGAGGGGCATTTGTCAGGAACAGACCCTGAATCGGTAGAGTTTGGTGTGCCGGTGCAGACATTTGGAGTTTGCAGGACTGCTTGCTTCTTCCTTACTTCATGGACTCAGTATCTTGTTCCTGACTTTGTGGACTCATTGTTTGTTTCGTTGACTCCTTTCCCTGTTCCTTTGATTTGCTGGACTGGGCACAGCCAGAGGCTGCCGTGTGTGTGTGTGTGCATGTGCGTGCGTGCTTTGCTCTGGGACTTGCCAAGAACGTGGGAGCGTTCAAGGGGAGATTTGGAGCATTAAAGGGGAGTTTGAACTCTCAGCTGGCTGTGTGACCTTCGTGCCTTGTCCCAGGTCATCACATTCCGTGTCATCACTGGTTGCTTGCTAATGCTAACGCTGCTCTTCCTTCAGAACATACCGAGCATCCAACATAAAAACGCCTGGGGAGCAGATGGTCCCAGCGCTCAACCTCCAGAATGCCTTCCGTATTATCAAGGAGGTGCAGAAGCGTTATAAAACCCGGGAAGCTGAGGAGAAAGAAAAGGAGGTGAGCCAAGTTTCCAGGCAAGCATCTCCCAAAGATGGCTAGAGAAATCGAAGCACGTTTGGGGAGATGTTTGCTGAGGTCAACAACCAGGAAAGGGCACCTGTAGAAGACACACAGGCTCCGTGAGCAGAAGCAGTTGAACCTTTTTCTTTTTCTGCAGGGAATTGTCAAACAAGACTCTCTGGTGATCAACCTCAACCGCAGCAATCCAAAACTGAAGGACCTCTACATCCGTCCCAACATCGCCCAGAAGCGGATGCAGGGGTCACTGGAAGCTCATGTCAACGGTAATTGCGAGATGCACGGAGCTGTGCCTCTGGGAAGGACCTCCACTTAGACTTTTTCAGGCCAGGTAGCTCAAAAGCAGAACATTGAAAGAGGTTCCTCTGGGCTTCACCACCCCGTCCCTGGAATTTTGCCCAACCAGCCCAAGATTGTGTCTTCCATATTTCTATGCCCGAGAGGTGCTTTGGCTCTGGCTTAATGACACTGGAGATGTCTCTGCTCCAGTGGTTCGAGTCCCAGCACTGCGTGGCAGGGTGAGCTCCCGTCACTCACCTCGGCTTCACCTAGCAGTTCGAAAGCATGTTCTATGCAAGTAGATAAATAGCACTTGGGTGGGGAGACGAGCTGGTGCTCTGTGCAGGCAGTCAGATTCCTGCTGGCTTCTGAACCTTCCCGATTTGCGACACCCGTTTGCGAGGCAACTCCGGTCAAGGGATGACGCCACAGGAAGAGACACTTTTCTTTCTTTCTGGTGTGAAGCTATCTTGCCCTGCTGTGGCACATCTTGGGAAGCGTGCAAACGTGTCCCACAACAGAGCTAGTCAGTTGGCAGCCAAACCACTACTCTGCATTGGCTTTGTAGTTTCCTGGCTAATGGAACAACGCCATGCTCTAAATAAAATAAATAAAAATGAATTTCCATGCCTGGGGAGGTTCTGCTGGCATTTCCAGCAGAACCTCCAACCCAGATTGGCCTTTGCCCCTCATTGCAGCTTTTCCTCAACAGGCTTCCGTTTCACCTCCGTGCGGGGAGACAAAGTGGACATCCTGTACAACAACATCAAACATGCCGTGTTCCAGCCCTGCGATGGGGAGATGATCATCGTGCTTCACTTCCATTTGAAGGTATCCTTGCGCCTCGGAGCGGGTGTGTCAGCACTTCAAGCTGCATTTACTCTAGTGCTGACATAAGAAGGAGAAGCGGAGGCATCTGGAAAGGGACGTTTGACTTTTCACCTACTTATTTTCCCTGGAGATAATATCCCCTAGGAGATGGGATGGGAGGGGGGGAAATTCCTTTGAGCTGGAGCAGTAGATTAGGGGTAGAGTGACTTGGAAGATGGCCAATGAGTGCAGGGGAGTGGGGAACGGAAAGGGAGGGTTTTGGGTCTGGAAGTCAGTGTTGGCTACGATGGAGTAGGAATTAGAAGGCCGTGCTTAATAAATGGGAGGGTTTTTTTTCCAAAGACTTTGTTTGAAATGCAATTTATTTGAGACGACCTCGAAACCTGACAGGGTGGAGGGTTAAGAAGATCCTCACAGGTGGAAACAGGTAGCAAGGACAGACGGGGCCCTCGGTTTTCTCCATTAACACGACCTGTTGCATTTGAACTTCCTGCAAGCCCATGCTTAGTTGTTTGCAATGTTGTGCCAATCCTGAAAATGATGGGTGTATCTCCTGCCTAAACACAGCCTCATCTTGAGGAGAAGCTTGGCCCATCATTTACGGTCGGGGAAAAGCCATTTAAGCCCTGTTTGCTGCTCTCCTTGTTACCAATAAACGAGAATATTTGTAGCTCAGGGTTGAAAGGAGGGATCCTTGATGCTCTCTGAGCTTGGTTGTTTTCAGGCAGACGTTTCATGACCCAAACTAGATAACATCATCAGTGCTAGTGTTCACTATACCTAGTGTATAACTAGCACTGATAATATTACCTAGTTTGGTAATGAAACGTCTGCCAGAAAAGAACCAAGCTCAAAGAGCACCAATGTTGTGGCCCGCCAGCAGCTAGAAGAGCTGGCAGCAGCTTCAGACAGTGAGGAGGTTGGGGAGGTACATGGAGTCTGGGGAAGGCTCGGACGAGGGCTCTTGAGTTCGAGGCAGAGAGGGGGCCAAGGCCATCTGGTAGTTCTTTGCTGCCTACGGAGTCTGACATCAGCGAGGCAGAAGAACAGCGGGAGCCTGTTCCCAGTGTGCGCATGCGCAGAGCTGCCAGAAGACAAGAACAATTAAGAAAACAGGGTCGACTTGGGAGTAAGGTTTGGAGATGATTGGTCCCTCCCATAAGACATAAAAGAGGAGCGAACGGGACGTGAGCTTTTGCAGGAAGCAATTAGTTCATCTGGTCGGTTAAAGCTTTGGAAAGTTCTGTTTGACTCTGTGCTAAGTTTGGCCTTGCCCTGCATGTAGCAATTAGTTCTCTGGCAGCATTCCAAGGGAGATAAGGTGGGTGTTTATAAACATTCCCCTGATAGACTGTTTGAGAAGCCTTTCGGACTGGGAATGACAATAATTCACAGCTGTATGAATAAAAGAAGGTTTGCCAGGACTAAGATTGTGCTGTATACTTTCTAAGGAAGCCTAGGTCAGAACAACCAAGGAGATCTTATTCACACACACACACACACACACACACACACACACACACACACACCAATGTCCAGTAGAAGATTACTCCCACTCTTACCTAAGCACAGACTTTCCGTACTATAATTCTGCTCAGACCTGAAGCTTTTTATCTGTTCCCACTCTGCCCTCCAGAATGCTATCATGTTCGGGAAGAAACGCCACACGGACGTACAATTTTACACGGAGGTGGGCGAAATCACCACCGATTTGGGCAAGCACCAGCACATGCACGATCGGGACGACCTCTACGCTGAGCAGGTGAGGGGAGAGGCTGCTTGAAGCTCTGGGGGGGAACAGGGAGAGCCAGAAAGCTGGGAGACCAGTTGGGGGCCATGTTGACTGACTGATCCTCTTCTCTGCAGATGGAACGGGAGATGAGACACAAGCTGAAAACAGCCTTCAAGAATTTCATTGAGAAGGTAGAAGCCCTAACCAAGGAGGAATTGGAATTCGAGGTTCCTTTCCGAGAGCTGGGGTAAGGGCCATCGGTGATCTGGTAGCGTTTGTTTGAGTCCTGAAAGAGGATAGATAGGTGGATGGATGGATGGATGGATAGATGATAGATAGATAGATAGATAGATAGATAGATAGATAGATAGATAGATAGATGATAGAGTTCACCTGAGAAAGAGAAAGGGTGTGCAGGCTTCAAGGCATGTTGAGATGGGTGATAGGTAGCTAGGTATAGATCAGGGGTGAAAATAAGACAGGGTCTTATATTAATTTTTGCTCCAAAAGATGCATTAGAGCTTATTTTAGGGAAAATACGGTACTAAATGCACCTATCTGGCTGACAATCTTAACTGGGGCTTATTTTGGGGGTAGGGCTTATATTACGAGCATCCTGAAAAATCATGCTAGGGCTTATTTTCCAGTTGGGTCTTATTTTCGGGGAAACGGTGTATGTGTATGTGTATTTATATATATTTATATATATATATATACACAAACACACACACAAACATACATACATACATACATATATACATACATACATACATACATAATAGGTAAATAGATATAGATAGATGGATAATAGATAGTAGAACTCATGTACTTATTTTGGGGGGCCAAAAGAAAATAAGATCCTGTCTTATTTTCGGGAAAATATCTATCAATATGGTAGGGCTAGTCTCTGATTTCTTTGGAAATTTTATGTACATCTTTCCTATAAGGGGATTATCACTGTCTGCCCTTTTGTCTCCCTCATCTTATGTGAAAGGTTCAATGGCGCCCCCTACCGAAGCACCTGCCTGCTCCAACCAACCAGCAGTGCCCTGGTGAATTGTACTGAATGGGTGAGTGTGCGTTTGCTCGGAAGAGGCAGGATATAAAGGGATGGTCTCGGGGGAGTGGGGTTGGATCTGGCTCTCAGAGGTTAGAAAGCTGCAATTCTGACAAACTGGCAGGAAATGCCCTACCACCCACAAAGAGGAATTGGTTCCTAGGCCTTCTCAAATCCTCATGTGCCTATCATCTCTTAATCTGCATTCCCGTTAAGTGGTACTTACTGACAGTTGTCTTCAATATGCTAAGATTATGGTAACATGGTAGGAGATGGTGGCTCTTGTGGCTAGGACGCTGAGGTGGAGATTATAGCAAGACCGTGTTTGAGACCCAAGTGCTATCATTGGGCAGGGTTGAGCTCCCGTCCTTTGCTCCAGCTCATGCCGGGAATATGAAAAGAGCCCGAAACTTGGTCTCCCCGGGCAACGGTGATCTCCCGGCTAATCCTTTCAACCGGGAGTGCCTCAAGAGCTTCTGACACACGCGCGATGCAATCGTAGCATGTTCAAGATTTGAGAAGAAAAATCTGTGACCATTGTAGACTAGGTCAAAGGTCTCCAAACTTGGCAATATTAAGACTTGTGGACTTCAAGTCCCAGAATTCCTCAGCCAGCCATGTCCTGCTGGGAGTTGAAGTCCATAAAAGTCTTAAAGTTGCCAAGTTTGGAGACCCCTGGTCTAGGGCATCGCTCCCATACTATCCAATATCTCAAAAGGTTTGGAAGACCAATCGGATTTCCCTCCCTTCCCTGCAGCCTCCATTTGTGGTAACGCTGGACGAGGTGGAGCTGATTCATTTTGAGCGTGTGCAGTTCCACCTGAAGAACTTCGACATGGTCATCGTTTACAAGGACTACAGCAAGAAGGTCACGATGATTAACGCCATTCCCGTGGCTTCGCTCGACCCCATCAAAGAGTGGCTCAAGTGAGTATGGACACAGGCAGCATATCCTTTGCCTTGGTAAAATTTCCCCTGACTGGTAATTGTTGAAGTGTTAAGAGACCTTCAAAGTCGCTTCCAACCCCCATGAGGTTTATCATCTTCATGGCATCAGTCCAGACCAGCGATCACCAACTGGTAGTCCGTGGACCACTGGTGGTCCGCGAGAAAATTTTGGTGGTGACGCAGAAAAATTATTTGCATTTTTTTATATTGCACTAAATCAGGGGTCCTCAAACTACGGCCCCTGGGCCGGATATGTGCAATGAATGTTTGTGTTGCTGCAGAGAGTCTTCCCCCTTCGGGGTCTTTTTGTGTGGGTTGGAGTGGGGCAGAAATTCCGACTTGGGGTCTGCTTCGGCCTCCTGGTGCGGGACTTTGGGCGAAGGCTAGAAGGAAGTGCCGCTGGTGGCAAGGAGCCAGAGGGCTTTACTCCAGTGGGACTGCATCATGGTCTGGAACTAGCTGACCATCTTGGCCCACGGTATCAGGGTGCTAATTAATCCCATTTTGCTTTTGGATAATCGCACCTTGATTTAGAGACGTGGATCGCGACTTTTCCCTTGAAGCATACTTAAGAAAATAAACCCCGAAGATATATTTTTCTAAGAAAAACTCATTTATTTGTTATAAAGAAAATAAAACATCTCACGATTTAAATTAGTTACATTTTGGCAACGTTCCTGCCGGCCACCTCTCTGCGGCCGGACCTCTTGGCAGGAGAACAAAGAAAAATAGAAGAAAAGTGAAGGAATGTGGACATGCGCAGTTAGCTTACTGATAAGAAACTTGGCAAGCTATGGAAAGTCTGAATGTCCAAAAATATGAGCTCATTTGGTAAATATAGAAATGTAGTGACACGCTAAGCCTCTAGGCACTAGTACCTGGCCTTGCACTCCTACAGGTCTTCCGTCTGCTTGGAAAGCCTATGCTCTTAGTCCTCAGTGAGGTGCTTCTGCTGAGCCGCCTTCTCGGTCAGATCCAATTTGAACTTAGCCAGCTGTTTTGCCAACTCTTTCTCGTGGTGGCTGCTTAGCTCCAACAACTGCTTCCTGTTGGGGCCCTAAGGAGCCCGGGCGGGCAGGCAAGGAGTGGCTTGCAGGGGAGGGGTGAGTTGAGGCCGGCGAGGCGCCTCTCGATGTGAGTGACATCAAGTTGGCCACGCCCACCCAGCCGGTCATTAGGCAGATCATATTTGTGGTCCTTGGGATTTAAAATTATGAATTTAGTGGTCCCTGAGATCTGAAAGGTTGGGGACCCCTAGTCCAGACTATCTGAGGAACCATCTCATCCCAATGGGAGTGACCCCCCCACCTGTGTTAACAGAAAGGGCATATTGTAGACCCCATCAAGTCAAGGAATTTCAGCTGATAGGGTCCAGGAGAAGAGTTTTTCTGCCATGTTTCCTGCCCTCTGGAACATTGTACTCCCCAAGGTAGGATTCGCACCCACCCTTCTGACGTTCCTCAAGGGCTGAACACCTGGCTCTGCCAGCCTGGCCTGGGGCCCCAATAGGGGTACACCACCCTGGAGGTGGCTATCAGATTACCAGAAGAACCTCATGTTTCCCCACGTACTTTGTGTTCCATTCCCCTCATTTTTCAATTGTAAATTATCATTGCTTGTTTATTTAAATCTGTTTAATCGCCTGTCTTAGCACAGGACAACTCTGGGTGGCCATAAAATGATAGTTTTATCATTGTAATGTTTACTGGTTTTTAATGTTTGCAAGTGGCCAAGAGTCATTCCCCTAGATAAGATGGGCAGCACACAAATCAAATTGTGACACTGGTGGATTTTGTCACAAATTCCAGTGAATTTGTGGCAAAAGGGGACCCCAGAGGTGATTTTTCAAGAGACAACTGGACTGTCTGGTTTTTCTTTGAAGATGTTTTGCTTCTCATTCAAGAAGCTTCTTCAGCTCTGCCTGGATGGTGGGGCATGGAAGGATTTATGTTGCTTGCAATCATCTGATCATTTGCATTCTTTTAGAGAGTCCATGAGGCCACCTGGAGGTTTAGCTGTGTCCTCAGGGTCGCCTGAGTAGTGCAAATGGGTGTGGAGCCTTCTTGGAACTTGTCAGAGTTTCTTACAAAAATCAAATCCAGAAGCCCAGACAGATAAACTGATTCGGCAGGATTCATTAACTTCTTTATACACATAGTAACAGATAAAAGTATTTACAATACCAGTAGTTGATTCTTCTTCAACATAATAGGAGTTACAACACAAGGCAGGAGAGAACAGTTTCATTTTCAGCAGAGTAGACAGTATACACACAGTGGTTTCAGTCTTTTCTGCACAGAATCAGAAGCTGCAGACTAAGACACTTCCTGGCTCCAGTCTGTCTCAGCTCCCAATTGGCTGACTTAGTTGCTATGCCTATTCATTGGCTGACCTTGTTACCATGTCTTCCCAGTCATGAATATTCTGACAGAACTGCTGAAAGGGTTCCTGTAGTCGGAATTTTTTGCTGGAAATCCATTCATACTCGCGCATCATTCATCGCAAAATACATAGTTAAATGTCTATGGAGATTTCCCAGTCATGCAGGTCACGATTGTCCCAAAGGTGCTTTTTCAAGAGACAACTGGACTTGCTTGTTTTTCATAGAAGACATCCAGTTGCCTCTTCACAAAGCATCTTTGGGACACGACTGACCTGGATCACTGAGAATCTCCATAGTCATTGACAAAAAGGATATTTTAGATAATACAAAAAAATGCTTGTTCTTCTCAAAGGCAATGTTTCTACTGAAGTGTCCATGTTACTGTTCTTCCAGTGCCAGTTAAAAATCCAAGAGGAGTAGTTACACCCTTACTAGTTTGCGTTTAGCACAGAAGTGAAGCACGTTTGTGTCTGGCTTTGTGAACGGAGCTAATTTTGAGAAGAAGCGGGTGTGGGAAAAGCTATATACATTCATCTCTTCCTTCCTTTTTCATTTGCAATCAGCTCTTGTGACATTAAATACACCGAAGGGGTACAATCCCTCAACTGGACCAAAATCATGAAAACAATTGTGGATGACCCAGAAGGCTTTTTTGAGCAAGGTGGCTGGTCGTTCCTTGAGCCAGAGGGAGAGGTATGCTGGATGAACCAACCTGGGTAGAAGGGAGTTGGGGAAATCCAAAGACACATACATCCCAGCACATTCACTTTCTTTGAAAGGTAGAGGGGTGTCAGTGCCAGAGATTGAAAGAATGATTTGAGGATGGGGAAACTTCTGTTGGCTTGGATTGATTGATGGGTTGGGTTGGGTTGGGTTGAGTTGAGTTGAGTTGGTTGGGTTGGGTTGGGTTGGGTTGGGTTGAGTTGAGTTGGTAGGGTTGGGTTGGGTTGGGTTGAGTGGGTTGGGTTGGGTTGAATTGGCTTGGATTGAATTGGGTTGGGTTGGGTTGGGATGTTAGGTGTGTGGTGTGTGGAGTGGTGTGGTGTAGTGTGTTATATAATGTAATATATTTTTATAGTGTATGGAGATAGCATTGCAGGACATTTGTCTAACAAATCTAGAATTCTAGCATGCCTTCCTCAGCCTCAGGCATACCTCTTTCATTAGGGTCCTAAATCTGTAAATAAATATATATATGTTGTCTTCCATTAATAGATTGGAATTGTTCAGATTCTTATAATATAGTGTTGGATTTTGAACCCAGAGATGGGAACAATCACTGTCCAGTACTAAGCCACCAAACTCATAAAGGAGTTCGACCTGAATGTCTGGCCTTCCTTAAGAGACGCCATTCCTCTCCCCCTTTCCTTCCCAGGGAAGTGATGCTGAAGCTGGGGAATCTGAGTCCGAAATAGAGGACGAGACCTTCAACCCTTCCGAGGAAGAGTATGAAGATGAGGAGGAGGACAGCGATGAAGACTATTCTTCAGAGGCAGAAGAATCAGGTGAGGAAAGAAGGAGGGTCACTCTGGACTTCTCTGGAGGATTTCTTTCCTTGTTATGTAAGCTTTCTCTTCTCTCTCTCTCTCTCTCTCTCCCTCTCCCTCTCACCCTCCCCTTTCCCACTCTCCCCCTTTCCTTCTACCTCTCTCCCGCTCTCTGTTCCTTCCCCTCTCTCCCTCCCTCTTTCTCCCTCTCTATCCCTCCCCCTCTTTCTCTCTTCCTCTCCCTCCCTCTTCCCCCCCTTTCCTTCTCCCTCTTCTCTCTCTCCCGCTCTCTATTCTTTTCTCCCTCTCCCTCCCTCCCTTTTTCTCCCCTTTTCTCCTTCCTCCTCTTTCTCTCTTCCTCTCCCTCCTTCTCTTCCCTCTCTCCCTCCCTCTTCCTTCCCCTCTCTCTTTCCCTCCCCTTTCCCCTCCCTCTCCCCTTCTCTCTCCCTCCCTTTTCTCCTCACTCTCGCTCTCCTCCGTCCTCTTTCCTCCCCTCGCTCTCCCTCTCCCTCTTGCTCCTTCAAGAGGTGTATAATCCTGAGTCTTTTCTTCTCTTTCACAGACTACTCCAAAGAGTCCCTGGGCAGCGAGGAAGAGAGCGGGAAAGATTGGGACGAACTGGAAGAAGAAGCACGGAAAGGTAAGCATCCTTCCCTCTGTTGGAAACCTCTCGGGACAAACCTGAGCTTGTGAAGCTGCTTTGAGGCCGATTTTTAGTTATTTTTTTCATCCCTCCATTCATTCATTCATTTATTCATTCATTTATTCATTCATTCAATTTATCTGGCTGCTCACCTCAAACATTGACTCTGTTTTCTCGACACAGGGAAGGGAAAATTAAACTCGGGCTTGTGGCTTCAGCCAATCCAGAAATCGGTAGCACGAGTAGATCTGGGTGCATCTCAATACGGCCATTTGACAGTGCCACTTTACAATTCATTGATTGCCTGTGGGTTTCTGAGTGGAATTCAGGGCCTGGGTTATCACCATCCTGGCACAAGGCCAAGTACCATATTTTTCAGAGTATAAGACGCTCCAGACTATAAGACACACCTACCTACAAGAAAAAAAATCTGCCTTTGCCTTTGCCCAACATCCTTCTGGGCCATTCGCCGCTACCACAGCCCATCCGTCGTGGTCTGTACACCATGGCCCATACTCCGCCGCCTGTTTGCCACTACCACGGCCTGTTCAGTGCAGCCCATTCGCCACCGCCCATTTGCCGCCACTCATTTGCCACCGCCGCAGCCCGTTCACCACCACCACGGCCCATTTAGCGCAGCTCATTCACCGCCACCAATCCCTGCTGCCTGGAACTGGCTGAAAATGCGATGCGCAGAGACCGAAAATAGCCAAAGAGTGGTGGTGGGCGGGGCTACATTTGATGTATAAGACGCCCCCAAATTTTCACCCTCTTTTAGGGGGGGAAATACATCTTATGCTCCGAAAAGTACGCTACTTGTGGACCTCCTCTCCCCAAACCCGTCAGTCAATCCAATAAAATCTGAGAGTTAGCATGCTGTAGGTCCATTCTCTTAAGCCAGGGGTGGACAATTAATTTTTCCAAGGAGCCACATGCGAAACTTTTGGACTGTTTTGGAGAAACGGACCAATAGGGCAGTTACCGCAGGCCAGACAGGGGTAGCCAAAGGGCCAGATAGTGGCCCGGGAGCCAAAGAATACCCAGGTCTGTCTTAAGCAGTGCCACCTTGGGATATGCAACAGACCATCTTCCTCTGCGACTGCATTGGGCCTCATCCAAAGGGTCCCGATCCTGTGGGCCTTGCATAAGGCTTTTCGGCCAGGCATTGGCAGGAATCAAAACTCGGGATTCTTTTGATCGTTGTGTTGGCTGATGCAGTTTGTACCATGAACCTTGCTATATTTATGACAGTTCAATTTTAGCATTCTGTAATTGAACACCGCTTCAGAGTCGTTTTGCGTGGGCAGCCGTGCAAATCAAATCAGAGAGACGGTCTTCATTCACCGGCGCGGGTTCGCAATGAATGAATAGAATATTCGTCCATCATATAGCATGAAGAGAACTGCCAAAGAGCCAACAGTAAACAGCCCAACCAAAGAAACTCTTTAAGACTGCCCCCCACCCACACCGACAGGCAAGACACCAGAATATAAACTGACAGCAAACAGCACTCCTTACCAGCATTGATAATGTTGCCTAGTTAGGCTAATGAAACGTCTACAAGAAAACAAGCAAGCTCAGAGACCACCAAGGACCCCTCCTGTATAGAATAGGTAAAGGTAAAGGTTCCCCTCGCACATATGTGCTACTCGTTCCCGACTCTAGGGGGTGGTGCTCATCTCCGTTTCAAAGCCGAAGAGTCAGCGCTATCCAAAGACGTCTCCGTGGTCATGTGGCCGGCATGACTTAACGCCAAAGGCGCACGGAACGCTGTTATACTTCCCACCAAAGGTGGTCCCTATTTTTCTACTTGCATTTTTTAGGTGCTTTCGAACTGCTAGGTTGGCAGAAGCTGGGATAAGTCACGGGAGCTCACCCCGTTACGCGGCACTAGGGATTCGAACCGCTGAACTGCCGACCTTCCGATCAACAAGCTCAGCCTCTTAGCCGCTGAGCCATCGCGTCCTGTATAGAATAGAATAACATAATTGGAAGGGACTTTCTAGGTCAGGGATGTCGGATTCAAACTCGCGTCATCACGGTATCATCATGTGTTGTATTGCAACTTTTCCCCCTCGCTAAACCATGGGGGTGGCCAGTGCATGACATATCTGGCCCGTGGTCTGCGAGTGTGACAGCCCTCTTCTAGGTCTTCTAGTCCAGCCACCTGCTCAAGGAGGAGACCCTATACCATTTCAGACAAATTATCCAATCTCTTCTTGAAACCTTCTAGTGTTGGAGCACCCACAAGTTCTGGTGGCATGTTGTTCCACTGGTTAATTGTTCTCACTGTCAGGAAATTTCCTTTAGTTTTAGGTTGCTTCTCTCCTTGATTAGTTTCCATCCATCGCTTCTTGTCCTGCCATCTGGTGCTGTTGTGGCCTGCCAGCGGCCAGCGGAGCTGACAGCAGATTCAGACAGTGAGGAGGTTGGGGAGGAATATGGGCCAGTCCTGGGGTCTGGGGAAGGCTCCGATGAGGGCTCTGTCTCAAAGGCAGAGAGGGGGCCAGGGCTGTATGCCAGTTATCACCTGCCTTCGGAGTCAGACATAAGTGAGGCAGACGAACAGCTGGAGCCTGTTCCCAGTGTGCGCATGCACAGAGTTGCCAGACGAAGGGAAAAGCTAAAGAACAAGGGTCGACTTGGGAGTAAGGCCACAGGTGGACGATGAATGGCCCCTCCCAGAGGGAATAAAAGAGGAGCGAAAGAGGAGTGGAGTTTGCAGGAGACAATTAGTTCGCTTAATTGGTTCGTGACTCGGTGCCAAGTTTTGAAGATATGGGCCTGGCAGCTCCCCAAGCCAGATAAGGTCTGTGACTGTAAATTCACCCTTGAAAGACTTTGCTGGATGTGAATGAGAAGAATTCGCAGTAACTTAATAAAAAAGTGATTTTTGTCGGGACAAGGAGTCTGCTTCGTGGTTTGAGAAAGCCTAGTTCAGAATAGGTGATTTGGAATATAGGTGGGGCCCCCTCTGCTTTGTGATAACACTGATCATACTGCTATCATGTCACCCGTAGCTCTGCGGAGGTTCTGACTTCTCCCTCTCCCTTCCCTGCAGCTGATCGAGAGAGTCGATACGAGGAAGAGGAGGAGCGCACCCTGAGCCGCAAGAGGAAGGTTCCCTCCTCCCAGAGTTCGGGACACCACCGCAGCTCCCACAGTCGCAGTCCTGGCCGAAGTTCTGCCCCGCCGAAGAAGAAGAGGAAGTAGATTGGGGCGATGACAAACCTTTCCCATCAGTCAGTTGGGGGAGGGAGGCGGGGGAAATTTTGGGGGGGGGGGGGCCCCAGAGGCCTCCCTCCATCAGCCAGTCTTTAGGGTCCCGGGAGAGGTGGTCAGCTCCTCCTCCCCACAAACTCTTTTTTTTTTTCCCACCTTTCCAACATCCACACCCCTTTGGCTCCCTTGTTTTGTTTTTCTGGAGCATATTTCGGCTTTTTTTATTTTACGTTTTTTTCTTCCCCGCGTCATTTTCGCACCGTTCGCATGGACCAATCCGCTGCGAGAGAATTCCAAGCCGTGTTCACGATGGACAAAAACCGTGCCGGGGCAAAAGGGGGGCACGGAAGGCCGTCTTGGGCGACACTCAGGAATGGGGAGTGACTTGACCGTGCTTCTCTGCAGCTTCCACTGCCCCTCCGTTTCCCGCTATCCTCCTTGGGGGAGGGGTATACCCACTCCGCAAACCCCTTTCTGCATAGGGACTCTTCCCCGTTTTCCCCTCCATACCCCGTGTCTGCATCCTTGGAAGCTTTGGCAAGCGGAACCGGGTTGACACTTTTAAAGTATTACACCCATGTCAAGAACTCAAAAGGTTCAAGCCAACTGCTCGTTCTGTCGGCGTTTCGAACCGACAAAGAAAAGCGGAATTGCGCTGCACTTTTCCGACACTAGCGACGACAGGAAATCCACCTTGGAACTGTGATGGAAAGGAATACACAACCAAGCTTCCCTAATGACGCAAGCAAGCAGGACTGGGAGATTAGGACACAAGCGAAAGAAAAGATTCTTGCTTCTTTGTATTCTTTATTGTTTTTTCTTTTTCTTTTTTTGTTTTTTTTTTTGTTCCCCTTTTACGGGATCACCTCCCTCCCCACTTTTTCTAACTGTCAAGCTCCCCGTTTGTATTTATCTGTTTCCAGGGTCGCCCCATAGGTATCCAGTGAATGAACGTCGGTGGGGGTCACAGAGGGAACGGATGAAATGCATTTCCCACCCTGACCCTCCCTTGTTTCCTTCGGGTGGGTGGGTCGGGATCCACCTGATCCAGGCCAGGGAGGGAGGGACAGTTAGGGGCATGGGGCTTTTCTCAACTTTTTCTTTTTTCTTTTTTTTTCTTTCGTAGCTGTTAGCACTCTTGATATTTTTGACTTTGGAGACAAACTGAACAATAAAAATGTTTTTTTTACAAAAAAAAAAAAAAAAGATTTGGAAAGTTTATTTTGCTGGCTCATTCCCTGGCTCCGAAAAAGTTAGCAAACATTATTTTCATAATGGAAGCCTGTTCATTCCTCTTCAGTTTCTCCACCCTCGCCGCCCGGCCATTCATCTGTCCGGTAGATGGCGCGCAGCGCGGGCGCCGCTTTGACGGAGACTTTCAGATTCCCGATCTTGGTGACGTGGTCTAAAGAACTCAAAACTGGGTGATAAGAAATGAAAAGTACAAGATAATGTTGTTTACCGATCTGGCAATCATTTGTGAAGGGTGGAGAGGAAGAAGAGGTGAAAAACGACTTGAATATTTTTAAGCGGAACATGGGAATTTCTGATCCTCCAGATACCCTGTTTCTCCGAATATAAGACCCACTGGAAAATTTAATTTAACTTATCGCATTTCTATGCTGCCCAACTCCTGAGGGACTCTGGACGGCTTACAGCAAAAATAATGCGAACATAGAAAAATTGTTAAAAAACATTGTAAAAACATTTTAAAACATGCACACCATTCATGGCCGGATCTTGCAAGATCGCAACAGCGAGATCAACAGCCCCAGGCCTGCTGGAAAAGCCAGGTCTTCACCACTTTCCGGAAGGCCAATAGGGTGGGGGTAGTCAGGATCTCGGGAGGTAACTGGTTCCAGAGAGCTGGGGCAGCCACAGAGAAGGCCCTTCCCCGCGGGCCCGCCAGCCGGCATTGTTTAGCTGACGGGACCCGGAGGAGACCAACTCTGTGGGATCTTACCGATCGCTTGGAGGTATGCGGTAGAAGGTGGTCTCGAAGATACCCTGGCCCTGAGCCATGTAGGGCTTTAAAGGTAATAACCAACACCTTGAATTGTGCCCAGAGACCAATAGGGAACCAGTGCAGCTCGCGGAGAATTGGTGTAATGTGGGTGTATCTAGGTGCACCCACAACAGCTTGCGCAGCTGCATTCTGGACCAACTGTAGTCTCTGAACACTCTTCAAAGGTAGCCCCATGTAGAGCGTGTTGCAATAGTTCAACCGTGAGGTGACAAGGGCATGAGTGACTGTGAGGAGAGCCTCCTGATCCAAGTAGGGTCGCAATTGGTGCACCAGGCGAACCTGTGCAAAGGTCCCCCTAGCCACAGCCGCCAGATGTTGCTCTAATCTTAGCTGTGAGTCTAGGAGGACACCCAAATTGTGAGCCCGTTCTGAGGGGGACAATTTCTCTCCCCCCCCCCCAGAACCAAGGATGGACAGTCGACATAGTCTTTAGGAGGCAATACCCACAGCCACTCGGTCTTGTCTGGGTCATAAACGGCACTATACCACGACTTACAATTGCTTAGTGACCGTTCAGAGTTACAACGGCAGTGAAATGTTTGTACCCATCAGTTCGATTTGCTGTAGGTTGTCCTCAAATTACGACTACCGTTGAGTCCCAAATTTCTGTTGCTAATGGAAACATTTCTTAAGTGAATTTCGCCCCGTTTTTACAACCTTTCTTGTCACCGTTGTTAAGCGAATCACTGCCCTTGTTACTTAGTACTACAGTTGTTAAGTGAATCTGGCTTCCCCATTGACTGCTTGCATGGTCGCAAAAGGGGATCGCGGGACACTGCAACCGTCACAAATATGAGTCAAGTTGCCAAGGGTCCGAATTTTGACCACACGTGACCGTGGGAACGATGCAATGGTTATAAGTGAAAAACGGTCCTAAAACACTTTTTTCAGTGCCGTCGTAACTTTGAACAGTCACTAAATGAACTGTTATAAGTCGAGGACTACCTGTATTCCGATACGCTCAAATTTAGCTTTAAATTAAGCCATCCAAACTTCAGGTGAAACTTCTGTTCTTATTTTTATTTCTCTCTGGCCGTGGGAAAGTACCATGTTTCCCCGAAAATAAGACGCTGTCTTATATTTTTTTTGAACCCTGAAATAAGTGCTTAGCCTTATTGCCATGCGCTCAAAAGCCCAATTGGGTTTATTATCTGGGGATGTCTTATTTTGGGGAAAGGGGGTAGATGGATGGATGGATGGATTGATGATGGGTGGATGGGTGGGTGGGTGGATGATGGATTGATGATGGGTAGATGATAGATAGATAGATAGATAGATAGATAGATAGATAGATAGATAGATAGATAGATAGATAGATAGATAAGATACCGTGTTTCCCAGAAAATAAGACCGTCTTATATTTTTTTGAATCCTGAAATAAGCACTTGGCCTTATTGCCATGCGCTCAAAAGCCCAATTGGGTTTATTATCTGGGGATGTCTTATTTTAGGGGAAAGAGGGTAGGTAGGTAGGTAGGTAGGTAGGTAGATAGATAGATAGATAGACAGACAGACAGACAGACAGACAGACAGACAGATAGGTGGATAGGTGGATAGGTGGATAGATGGTGGATTGATGATGGAGAGATGATGGATAGATGATAGATAGATAGATAGATAGATAGATAGATAGATAGATAGATAGATAGATAGATAGATAGATAGATAGATAGATAGATAAGATACCGTGTTTCCCAGAAAATAAGACCGTCTTATATTTTTTTGAATCCTGAAATAAGCACTTGGCCTTATTGAGACAACGCATCATGGTTTATATTTCTGAATCTCATTTTACAGGTTCTAGGTCCAGACACATTGACATTCGTTACCAAAACATAAAACATTTAGTGAAAAAAGGTTTTGTCAAAATGCAATATGTATCTACACATGATCAAATTGCTGATATGCTCAACAAACCACTTCCAGCAGCTCAACACGAGTATCTGCGTGAGAAGATGTGCCTTATTTGATGGTGAACTGATATTCGCTCAAATGCTTGGCCTTATTGCCATGCGCTCAAAAGCCCGATTGGGCTTGTTATCAGGGGATGTCTTATTTTGGGGGAAACGGGGTAGTTCCCAGGATTTTGGCTGGCAGGAGTTCAAATCCAGACACATTTGAGGAGCTGCAAAGCTTCCATCTTCTATGAACATCAGGCACATTTGGATGTTAATCCCTTAAACCAGGGGTCTCAAACTCTATTTCATTGAGAGCCGCATTAGGGTTGTGTTTGACCTCGGGGGGAGGCAGAGAGGGTGGTGGGCATGACCTGGGTGGGCATGGCCAGCTCAACATCACTCGTGTTGGGGGGCACCCGACCATGTGCTACCCTGAGACCCTCCCTCAATCTCACAACTTCCCTCCCTCCCGTCCTTCCTTCCTTTTTTTTTTAAAAAAAAAGTTTTTATTTTTTTAAAATATAAACATTCCATTTTCCCTTAAACAGTGTGTCGTCTGGCTACACATATCTCTCTGCAATAACCATCAAAAATTTACAATATCATTCATTACATTCATATTAATTCTCTAATCTTACAATTGTAGTATATCGAACGATTGACCTTAGTAAACGTATTCATTTTCCCCTCTTAGCGAATCTTCTAAATAAGAATATAATAATATTAAGCATCATAATAACAATTTTCATATTGTTTACATCTCTATCTTAACATATTTTCTACTCTTCTTTGATCTCCTTTTTTTATTTCCAGCTTCCATTTTTATTCTCTACCCATTGATAAAATAATTCCCATATTTTATAATATTCAGTTTGTTCTTTCTCCTTAATTGCAAGCGTTAGTCTGTTCATTTCTGCACATTCTAATATTTTCCTTCCTTCTTTCCGTCTTTCCCTTCTTTTTCTTTCCTTCTTCATTTTCCTTTCTTCTTCCTTCCCCTTTTCTTCTTTTTCTTTCCTTGCTCTCTTTCCTTCTCTTTATCTTTGTCTTTCCCTTTCCCTAGCCCCTCTGCCGCATGCGCGGTCAACCCAGGCCCCGTTTTCGGCCGTGACAGCCTTCTGCAACCCTCTGCCAGTGAAAACGGAGCCCAGTGAGGTTGTGCACGGCCTTCCCTGACTCCGTTTTCAGCCATGATTGCCTCTTCTCGGGCTGCGTTTTCACTGGCAGAGGCACCACAAGCCGGTCTTTTACTATTTCCAAGGCGGCCCCACGGGCCAGATCCAAGCACACCACGGGCCAGATCTGGCCCGCAAGCTGAGTTTGATACCCCTGCCTCAGTGGTGAAATCCAAATTTTTTTTTACTACCAGTTCTGTGAACGTGGCTTCGTGGGCATGGTGTGGCTTGGTGGCCGTGGCTTAGCGGGCATGGCAGGGGAAGGATACTGCAAAATCTGTTGTGGTCCGCTAGCAGCCTGCGGACCTGGCAGTGGAGGCAGACAGTGAGGAGGCTGGGGAGGACAAGGGGCCAGTTCTGGAGTCGGGAAAGACCCGGACGAGCGCTCTGCGCCGGAGGCAGAGATGGCGCCAAGGCCATCTGGGAACGATGCGCGGAATCCAGAGCCTCAAGAGGGGACAGCAGAGAGGCAGAGGAACAGGAAGAGCCTGTTCCTAGTGCATGCATGCGAAGAGCTGCCAGAAGACAAGAGCAGCTGAAGCAAAAAGGACAACTCAGAGGTAAGGCCAGAAGATGATTGGCTTCTCCCATAAGGCTTAAAAGAGCAGCAACGAGCCGTTGGGTTCTTTGTAGAAAAGCAACGTTGATTCCAGTGCTTCTTGTCAGCGTCTCTTGAACTTTGTGGGGGTTTTGCAAAGAAAAGCCTTTGGCATGTTGCCAAAGACATCAAAGTTTGGTGATAAGGCCGACGGGCTGGTTATTAACAATTTTGTTTTGGACTAAGCTGAGAATGAATTAATTCTCAGATGGTTTAATAAAATAAGTTTGTTGAGGACTGAATTGTGTTTGGTAATCACTACTTGGGCCTTGGTCACAACAAAATTTCCATTCCCACCCCACTCCAGGGGAAGGATACTGCAAAATCCCCATTCCCTCCCCACTCCTGGGGGAAGGATATATTGCTAAATCTCCATTCCCTCCCCACTCTCGGGCCAGCCAGAGGTGCTATTTGTCGGTTCTCCAAATTACTCAAAATTTCCGCTACCAGTTCTCCAGAACTTGCTGGATTTCACCCCTGCCCTGCCTTAAGTGTTACCTTGGGTTATGTGTGTTAAATCGCTTCCATTTTTGGAGGGAGGATGGACATCAACTTACCTTGTAAGTCTTGCTCAAAGATGTCGTTTCCAGTCAGAAGAATCTCTCGCAAGTTCACGTTTGAGAAACCCACGTCTTCGCATTCCCCACTGGTCCCAGGAAGAGGCTCACTCACCACTATAAACTGCAGCCTGTATCAAGCGGAAAACTTGATCAATACATATCCCGGGAATTATCTTCCCCACAACTTTGTAAGGAGAAGAAGCAGCTCTGACACTCACTTGTTCTCTTCGGGATCCTCAGCCGCAAGCATGGAAAACAGCATTTGCCTCTGAAAACTTCTGGGATCTGCGTCCAGTTTGATCACTGTGACAAAAGGATTCAGCAAGTATTTTAATCTGGTATCTATGGATATTCTCAAATTATCCAGATCTTGGTTGTCCCAAAGGCAACTGGGTTGTTGTTGTTTTTTTTCCTCTTGAAAATCCAAAGGTGCTTTTTCCAGAGGAGACTGGACTTTCTGGTTTTTCTTTGAAGAGGTTTCGCTTCTCAACCAAGAAGCTTCTTCCGTTCGAGGAGAAGCTTTTTTGGAAGAGAAGCGAAATGTCTTGCAATAGCACTTTGACTTATATACTGCTTCGTAGTGCTTTATGATATTTGCCCTCCTAAGCCAACATGGTCATACCGTGTACGTCTGCTCACCTTTGCTGAAGTGGAAATAAATTTCCTGGGTCCCCCTCGGTTTCCGCAAAGAGAAAGGGATCTCAGTTTCCTCCAGAGGAACCCCAGGGAAGTGGAATTCGACATAGAGTTTCTGGATGGTCTCATCGGCCGCAGGCCAGCTCTGGGGCAAAAGGCCAAGGGAAATGATCTCCACCCGAATCCACTCTGAAGGTTGCTGCGGGTGGAAAAGAATTAAACCGATAGACGAGAACATTTTGTACCTCAGGATTGAACTGTGGAGGTCCTTGGGCCTCTCTGAGGTTGAAAGTTTTCTTGGCGAGAAAACATTCTCTCTCTCTTTTTTTTTTTTGAAAAGTTTTTTCAGTTTTATTTTTTTAAACACATAATATAAAATGTACATTTTCTTATACATAATTAATCATATATGTATATATTTTCCTTAACGAAAGCATTAAAGTAAAACATTTTAATTACATTGAGTTGCTCCTCTACCTTTTCTTCCCTCTTTTCACAACCAGCCTTCTTCTTCTTCTTTCTTTCCCTTCCCAACCTCCTCTCCTCCCCTACTTTCTCCTTCCTCCTCTCCTACCTCATCCTACTTCCCCTTCCTTTCCCCCGCTCCTCTCTTCTTTTCCCCTTCTGACCTTCTCTCCTACTCCTGTCTCCTGTCCTTCCTTCCTCTCCTTTTCCCTCTCCTCTTCCTACCTTTCCTTCTTCCTTTCCTCTCACTCCCTCTCCTCTTCCTACCCTCTACTCCAGTGGTGGGTTTCAAAAATTTTTACTACTGGTTCTGTGGACGTGGCTTGGTGGGCGTGGCAGGGGAAAGATACTGTAAAATCTCCATTCCCACCCTACTTCAGGGGAAGGATACTGTAAAATTTCCATTCCCACCCCCCTCTAAGGGAAGAATACAGCAAAATCCCCATTTCCTCCCGATCAGCTGGGACTCAGGAGGCAGAGAATAGATGGGGGCGGGGCCAGTCAGCATTTTTACTATGGGTTCTCCGAACTACTCAAAATTTCCGCTACCGGTTCTCCAGAACTGGTCAGAACCTGCTGAAACCCACCTCTGCTCTACTCCCTCTCCTTTCGATCTTCTTTGCTATATAATATTCTTCTTATTTGGTATCCGAGCAGTTCCTGTATTCTAATCGTGTATACTTTCTTTCAATTTCTTTTTGAATTTATTCTATCTATCAGTATTATCATTATTATTATTATTATTATTATTATTATTATTATTATTATTATTTATTGAATTTATATACCGCCCTACTCCCGAAGGACTCAGGGCGGTGAACAGCCAAAAAATAAAATACATATAATACAAATGTTAAAAAATCATTAAAATACAATTAAATAATTCGGCCCAGAAAACAAAATTTAAAAACTCCAAATATTATAAGACAAATTTAAAATTTAAAAAATTTAAAAACAATTTAAAAAAGAGATTAGGCCAGGCCGGCCTGCTGCAATAGGAATGTTTTGAGGGCACGGCGGAAAGAACGCAGATCAGTGATTCTCCGTATCTCCGGGGGGAGCTCGTTCCAGATGGCGGGTGCTCCCACAGAGAAGGCTCTCCCCCTGGGGGCCGCCAGTCAACACTGTTTGACTGACAGCACCCTAAGAAGCTCCTCTCTATGGGAGCATACTGGTCGGTGAGAGGCTACTGGTGGCAGAAGGCCGTCTCATAGATACCCTGGTCCTAGGCCATGGAGCGCTCTAAAGGTGGTAACCAAAACCTTGAAGCGCACCCGGAAGACCACCGGGAGCCAGTGCAGCTCGCGCAGGAGGGGGGGGTCACATCGGAGCGCCACATCGCTCCCATAACCACTCGCGCGGCCGCATTCTGGACCAGCTGGAGCCTCCGGGTGCTCCTCAAGGGGAGCCCCATTTAGAGATCATAATTGTATCATAATTATAAAGAATACAATTATTCTTACACTCTTCTTTCTCCCCCACCCCCTTTTCAATTTTCTTTGGTATCATCTAGATTTCTATTTCTTTTTTAGTCTCTCTATCATTTACCTTTCTATTATCTCCCTCATTTATCTCTCTTTTTTTTATTCATATTTCTTTTCTAACCACTCATAAAATCTTTCCCACGTCCTGAAATACATCAATTCCTTTCTATAGAAACATATATATATAGGAATAGAGAGAAAATGTTCTCAAGGTCAACTTTTCTCCCCACCATCATTATATACTTACTGGTCACATTATCTTGTCCTCTTTTTTTTTTGGTCTCACCTGCAGGCCTCATGCATAACCCACCATCCTCTCAATCCAGCTGTTAAGCTTTGCAAACGCTCGTCGCCAAGATATGCGATGTTGGAGCCCAGCAAATATGCAACTTATTTCATAAACCGTGATTAAACACATGTACCGTATTTTTCGGAGTATAAGACGCACCTTCCCCCCCCCCAAAAGTGGGTGAAAATTTAGGTGCGTCGTATAGACCGAATACGGGCATTTTACCCGAACCCTCCGTGTGCTGTGTTTCCACCCTCCCCGGCCCCCAGAAGCACTCTGCAGTGCTCCGCATGGCCCCTGTCAAGTTACCGAAAGATGCCCTAATTAATTCATGAGCCATGATCCAAACTTCAAAGGAAATATATTCATTTATTAGGAGCACCATTCCGGCAATACTCGGATGCAGTTAGGACTGATCCTACGTAGATTTACGTTCCCCTATGACCCTGTCTCTCCCCTCCTCTCTGGCCATGTGATGAATCACATTCTCCAATTAACCACTTTGGCTGGCTGTGAAACCTAACACCCTCTTTCTGATTGCGGTCAGAAAGAATATATGGAATTCACTTCAGTTCTCCCTCCCTCCTGCTCATGGCAACTTGAAAACTTTGCAAGTTGACAGCCCGTTTTTGCCAAAAACAGGCCCGTTTATGGGCTCCCAAGCCCTCCGCACGTCGCGTTTTCACCCTCCTTGGCTCCTAGAAGCACTCTGCAGGCCAAAAACAGGCCCGTTTTTGGTGAAAATGGACAGTGCAGAGCACTGCAGACTGCTTCTGTGGGCCAGAGAGGGCAAAAACGCAACGCCCGGAGGTCAAAAACTATTTTGTTCTTGTTTTCCTCCTGTAAATTTAGGTGCGTCTTATAGTCCGAAAAATACGGTATTTATTTATTTATGGTGTTTACAAGTTACTCAAGGTAGGGAACATATCCGACACGCCTTCCTCCCCCCCCCCCCGTTTCCTCCACAACAACAACTCTCTGAGGTTGGGCTGAGAGAGAGTGATTGGCGTCAGCTCACCTAGTTAGTTTTCGTGCCCAATGAAGGACTAGAACGCACAGTCTCCCGGTTTCTAGTTTGGTGCCTTATGATGATTGCCTGGACAAGTCCCTTCAATTTTCTTAGTAAGATTTTGGAAGTGGCCACTGCCTGCTTTCTAGAACTCCCAGTCTCCTGGTCGTTGGCCCAAAGTCACCCAGCCAACTTTCATGCCTGAGGAGAGACTAGAACTCCCAATCTCCTGGTTGTTGGCCCAAAGTCACCCAGCCAACTTTCATGCCTGAGGAGAGACTAGAACTCCCAGTCTCCTGGTTGTTGGTCCAAAGTCACCCAGCCAACTTTCATGCCTGAGGAGAGACTAGAACTCCCAGTCTCCTGGTTGTTGGTCCAAAGTCACCCAGCCAACTTTCATGCCTGAGGAGAGACTAGAACTCCCAATCTCCTGGTTGTTGGTCCAAAGTCACCCAGTCAGCTTTCATGTCTAAGGTGGGATTAGTACTCCCAGTCTGCTGGTGATAGCCCAAAGTCACGCAGCCAGATTTCATGCCTAAAGTGGGACTAGAATTCCCAATCTCCTGGTGATTGGCTCAAAGACTTGGTAGTACAGTGCCTTGGTAGTACAGTGGTCTAAGGCACCCTGTTATTAAGCTGGTTATTAAGACCAGCTGCCTGCAATTACTGCAGGTTCGAATCTCGCCAAGGCTCAAGGTTGACTCAGCCTTCCATCCTTTCTAAGGTAGGTAAATTGAGGACCCAGTTGTGGGGGCAATAAGCTGACTTTGTATAAATATACAAAAGGATGAAGGCTATTGCTGAGCACATTGTAAGCCGCCCTGAGTCTCTGGAGAAGGGCGGCATATAAATCAAATTAAATATATATATATATTTTAAAAAGACACCTAGCTGGATTTCATGCCTAAGGAGAGATTGGAACGCACAGTCGCCCGGGTTCTAGCCCAGCGCCTTAACCATTAGACCAGGGGTGTCAAACTCAAGGCTCGGGGGCCGGATCTGGCCTACAGGTTGCTTAGATCTGGCCTGCGGGACCACCCTGGAAACAGTGAAGGTTCAGCCCACGGTGCCTCTGCCAGCGAAAACAGAGCTTGGGAGTGCAACCCGTGGTCCTCCAGAGCTTTGTTTGCACTGGCAGAGGGTAGCAAGAGGCTGTTGCAGCTGAAAACGGAACTCGCAAAGGCCATGGGCAGCCCTCCAGAGCTCCGTTTTCACTGGCAGAGGGTTGCAGGAGGCCGTCACAATCAAAAACCGAGCTCGGGAGCCCATTTTCGCTGGCAGAGTCCTTGGGCCATCACAGGCACCCTTGGCACAAGTGAGTGACATTGAGCTGGCCATGTCCCCCCCGGCCCTCCCTAGGTTAAACAGAACTCTGATGCCGCCCTCAATGAAATCGAGTTTGACCAAACTGCACTAGACCAAACTGGCTCTCTGTCTCCGATCACAGTTTTGGCCCAGTGTGTTTGGACAAGTCTGTCCATCATACTTTATAAGCAAAACTGTGTAAAAATAAGTTTTTTCCTCCTGGAACTATGTGATAGCTACTCACCAGATCAGAATACCACTGCTGTGTGGGTAACCCCACAACCACTTCGTCACTTTCGGTAGTCTGAGCTTCACTCGTCTCTTGCTCCTCCCCCACTGCAGGTAAGAAAGAAGGGGGAAAAATTGTAGCACCCACTAAACAAAATGAAGAGGCTGCTTCAAGGACAAATAGTGGGGAAAGCAGCATTGTGAATACACACAAACCATCTAACCTACCGTATCTTTCAGAGGATAAAACACACTTTTTCCCCCCTAAAAGAGGCTGAAAATTTAGGTGTGTCTTATACTCCGAATGTAGCCCCACCCACCCACCGTCCCCCACCCTTCGGCCTCCACGTGTCCTCTTCCTGGCTGCAGAAATTGCCACGGACAATGGCTTCTGTGGGCTCTGCGCCTCGCTTTTTCAGCCTCCAGACACTCCGTTTGAGAGCCGTTCAAGGCTGCGAGGATCGCCAAAGCACATCGCCGCCGATCGCCACCTCTGCGCATCACGTTTTCTGCCTCTGCACATCGCATTTTAGGCCTCCGCATGACACGTTTTTGGCCTCTGCGTGTCTCATTTTTGGGTGGCAATCAGCGGTGATGTGCTTTGGCAATCCCCACAGCCTTGAACGGCTCTCAAACGGAGTGTTTGGAGGCTGAAAATACAAGGCGCACAGCCCAAAATGGCAACCCGGAACAGCTGGTGCCATGTCTTACCGCTTCCACGCTTCGCCTGCTTGACTCACCGGAGCTCCCTCTGATGATCAGCTGTGCTTTTGAAGCTGCTTATCAGCCCCAATAAGCACACGCATGCTCACAACCAGAGAACTAATGTGCTGAAGCTGACCAGGCTAAGGACGCTAGCCAAATGAATACCTGTGTCAACACTCCAAACTACATTCGTTCCAGTGCTGACATAAGGAGGAGAAGAGGGGGCAGCTGGCAAGAGGACGCTTGACTTTTCACCTACTTATTTTCCCTGAAGATAATATCCCCTAGGAGATGGGATGGGAGGGGGGACATTCCTGGGAGCTGAAGTAGTAGATATGGGGAGAGTGATTTGGAAGATGGCCAATGAGACGCAGAGATTTGGGGAATGGAAAGGGAAGGTTTGGGGTCAGGAAGTCAGTGTTGGCTACGACGGAGTCAGGGACAGATTGTTGTGCTTAATAAATGAAAGATTTCATCAAAGACTATTTGTTTGGAAAGGCAATTTATTTGAGACGACACCGAAACCTAACAACCTGGTAGGCAGAGGCAGAATTTTTTCCCCCTATTTTCCTCCCCAAAAACTAAGGTGCGTCTTATATTCCAGAGCATCTTATACTCCGAAAAATAAGATAGTTTATTGTCTGAAAAACTAGAGCCCTGTTCTTAGTTCCCTTAAATTGGCCTGTTGTAAGATGAGATTCCAATCACCAGTGTTGAAATGAGCCCACAATGTGTCGTTGGTTTTCCTGCAGAGATCAAAGGATATTATCTGGGTGTGGTGCTCTCTGAGCATGGCGGTTTTTTTGCAGTTGTTTCATTACCCAACTAAGTAACATCATCAGTGCGAAAAGGGAGTGGGGTTTGCTCTCTTGTTTATATAAACAACCCATTCAGTGTCAGTGGGAGTGCTGTTTTCGTCTTAGTAGTTCCTTGGCTGTTGTTTTACTATTTGATTGCTTGTCTGAGTTGATAGTTCCTTGACTGGAGTATTGTTTACTGCTTGATTGTTGGTCTGGTGTTTTTCGGAGAGTCAATCCCTGCTTATCTGGGTGTTGATTGCTGGCAAGGAGGTGTTTCAATGCTTTTCTTTCCTTTTTAGTTTTTGGGTTGTCTTTTCCTTCAAACAGTGAAGATGCCACTTAGTTGGGTAATGAAACATCTGCAAGAAAACAACCAAGCACCAAGAACTCCACAGTTCAACCATGAGCTACAAACATTGTCTTCTACTGGGTTTGTTCTATCAAGATCTTATGTTTTTGCTGCTACCCCATGAGTCTTATCTAGGACCTGGTGTTAGGCCGGAGATACAAGATTTAACAGGATTGATTGATTGATTCATTGATTCATTGATTCATTCATTCCTATGAATTCCTACGAATAAGAAACACAAATCAATCAACTGTCAGTCATTTGGTCACCAATGTCCAGCAGTACAACGTGAAAAGTTGCTGGTGGCCGCATGAAGCCCACAGATTGTGAGTTGTCAAGTTGTCTGAATTTTGATCACCTGACCAGGGGATGGTGCAATGGTCATAAGTGTGAAAAACGGCCATACGTCCCTGAACATACATTTAGTGACCATTGCAACTTCAAGCGGTCACTAAACGAACTGTTCTAAGTTGAGGTCTACCTGTATTGAATTTTGCCTACATTTCCAGGGATGGGATTCAGCCGGTTCAGACTGGTTCGGGGGAACTGGTTGTTATGGCCAACTGCTGGGCCTGCCCGCCCACCCCGGCTCTATCCTGTTTTATACAATCTGTGTTTTTGACACAGCGTGCATGTGTGCAAGGTGCGTGCGTGAGATAAGCTATCCCGTCCTATACAATCACCATGTTTTTGATGCAGTGCGCATGTGCGCAAGGTATGAAGGCTCACATATTCGATTCTGGGCGAATCGGTTGTTAAATTATGTGAAGCCCACCTGTGTACATTTCCCAATTCATCAAGTGAAAGAAACAGAATAACAGAGTTGGAAGGGACCTTGTAGGTCCTCCCCCAGCCGCCCAAGCAGGAGACCCTACACCATTTCTGACAGATGGCAGCCCAGTCTCTTCTTGAAAGCTTCCATTGATGAAGCTCCCTATGAACCTAGTCTAAAATCTATTGGGATTAATATGAGGGAGATGTTGTAGCCTGCCAGCAGAGCTGGCAGCAGATTCAGACAGTGAGGAGGTTGGGGAGGAACATGGGCCAGTCCTGGAGTCTGGGGAAGGCTCGGACGACAGCTCTACGTCGAAGGCAGAGAAAGGGCCATCCGGAGCTTCCAGAGTCAGACCTCAGCAAGGCAGAGGAACAGGAGGAGCTGTTCCCAGTGTTCACATGCGCAGAGCTGCCAGAAAACAGGAACAATTAAGAAAACAGAGTCGACTTGGGAGTAAGGCTTGGAGATGATTGGCCCCTCCCATAAGACATAAAAGAGAAGCGATCGGGATGTGAGCTTTTGCAAGAAGCAATTAGTTCATCTGGTCGGTAAAAGCTTTGGAAAAGTTCTGTTTGACACTGTGCTAAGTTTGGCCTTGCCCTGCGTGTGGCAATTAGTTTTCTGGCAGCATTTCAAGGGAGATAAGGTGAGTGTTTATAAACATTCCCCTGAAAGACTGTTTGAGAAGCCTTTCGGACTGGGAATGACAATAATTCACAGCCGTTTGAATTAAAGAGGTTTGCCGGGACTAAGGAAGCCTAGGTCAGAACAGGAGAGTCGAAAAGTTCTCTCTCTCATGTAATACATTTAATTGTTAACAGGATGTTATGTTTTCCTCTACAAATTCAGCATCCAGGCCAGTGTTTTTTTCAACCTTAGCCACTCTGAAGAAGGGTGGACTTCAACTCCCAGAATTCCTCAGCCAGCATGATGACTGGAGAATCCTGGGAGTTGAAGTCCACACATCTTAAGAGTTGGTAAGGTTGAGAAACACTGATGTAGGTTTGTCCTTCAACAACATTATGAGTGACAATATAGGCCACCCCAACGATGCCCTTGAAGTGATGTCTCAGTGCCTGGAGGCTGTGCGGATCTGGATGGGGAGGAACAGGCTCAAGCTCAACCCTTCCAAGACTGAGTGGCTGTGGTTCTCGGCATCCCAATATAGTCAGCTGACTCCATCGCTGGCTATTGGGGGCGAGTCTTTGGCCCCCTCGGAGAGGGCGGGCAATCTGGGAGTCCTCCTGGATATGCAGCTGTCCTTGGAGGAACATCTGACGGCTGTAGCCAGGGGGACCTTTTGTCAGGTTCACCTGATTCGCCAGTTGCGACCCTTTCTTGATCGGGATTCCAAGTGCACAGTCAGTCATGCCCTCGTCACCTCTCGCCTGGACTACTGCAATGCTCTCTACATGGGGCTCCCCTTGAAGAGCACCCGGAGGCTCCAACTGGTCCAGAATGCGGCTGCGCGGGTAATTACGGGAGCTACATGGCGCTCCCGCATAACACCGCTCCTGCGCGAGCTGCACTGGCTCCCAGTGGTCTTCCAGGTGTGATTCAAGGTGTTGGTTACCACCTTTAAAGCGCTCCATGGCATAGGACCTAGTTATCTTCGAGACCGCCTGTTGCTACCGACAACCTCCCATCGACCCGTGCGCTCCCACAGAGAGGGCCTCCTCGGGATGCCATCAGCCAAACAATGTAGGCTGGTGACCCCCAGGGGGAGGGCCTTCTCTGTGGGGGCACCTACCCTCTGGAACCAGCTTCCCCCAGAGATAAGGAGAATCCAAGACCTCGGTGCCTTCCGCCGTGCCCTTAAAACTTTCTTTTTTCAACAAGCCGGGCTGGCTTAACATATTTTTAAATTTTTAATTTTTAATTGGTTTGTCATTTTAAACTGGGGCCAAATTAATATATATTCTTTTAATTGTTTTTAATGTTTGTATTGTATGTTTTTATCTGGCTGTACACCGCCCTGAGTCCCTTGGGAGAAGGTGCGGTATATAAATTCGAAATAAAATAAAAAATAAAAATAAAAATATACCAGTGTCCTTCAGCAGAGACTCTAGAATCGATTCTTCATCCAGTTCTCGGTGTTCGGCCACCTTTGCTGTCTCTTCAACATTCAGTGTTTCTTCTTCCTCCTCTATCCTCTCTTCCACCTCCATCTGCCCAGATATAAAAGCCAGTTTGCTCACAAAATCATGACTTTGAGACAATCGTTGGTGCCAGATAAGCAAATATCCAGATAAGTTTCAATTAGAATGTTATAATGTTAGAGAATTTAACTTCTCTTGTCACAGTTCAGAGAAACCTGAAATGGATCGCGCATCATACGTAACAAATTCTTATCTAATAATAAGTAATAATAAACCATTAATATTATTAATAAGTAATGATAATTGATAATAAGTAGTAATAATAAATAAATAATAATTAATCAACTAAGATGATTAGTTGGAGACTAAAATATATGAAGAACGCTTGTAGGATTTGGGTTTGGGTAGTCTAGAGAAAAGAAGGACTAGGGGCAGAGGTGGTATTCAGCCGGTTTGGACTGGTTCGCCTGAACTGGTAGTGGAAATCGCGGGTGGACCCACCCACCTACCCCAGCTCTATGCCATCCTATTTAGGCACATATATTTATCTACGCCATCCTATTTAGGCCAGGCGCATGCACGGAAGGAACTCCCAGTCTCCTGCTCATTGGCCCAAAGTCACCCAGCCAGCTTTCATGCCTAAGGTGGGACTAGAACTCAGGGTCTCCTGGTCATTGGCCCAAAGTCACCCAATCAGTTTTCATGCTCAAGGCGGGACTAGAACTCCCAGTCTCCTGGTCATTGGCCCAAAGTCACTCAGATAGCTTTCATGCCTAAAGCGGAATTAGAACTCAAGGTCTCCCAATTTCTAGCCTGGTGCTTTAACTACTATACCAGCTGGCTCTCTTATCCCTTACCTTGGGGATAGTTTTGACCACTTTCTTCTTTGTCCTTCTTCTCTTGAGTTCTCGTGTTGGAATCACTTGGGCAGGAGGGAGCTCCAGCTCATTTTTTATCCTTCTGCTTTTCTGAAGGTGTTTTTCAGTCACCTGTTTCAGAGGACAAGACAGCCAAAAATCATAGTTCTTTCTCTTGCAATTGCACAAACACACACACACACATATATATATGTAGGTCTTAGGTTATTCGGGTTTTCTCCCGCGTAAAATTGGAGGTGTCTTGGCAACGTTTCGACGAAGTCTCATTCGTCAGATTCAGGCTGGTGTTTTCGGCTTCGTGCTTCACCAGCCTGAAGATGATGAATGAGACTTGGTCAAAACGTTGCCAAGACACCTCCAATTTTACGCGGGAGATAACCCGAATAACCAAAGACTTACATACAAACACCCGCGAAAACCACAGAATATATATACACATACATACATACATACATACATACATACATACATACATATCCCAAAAAATAGTCTTGGGCAGGCTGTACAAAATAATTTATGACATTCGAAACATGTTCCGAAAAATATGAACATCTTACAAATCTTTGCTCTGTAGCAGGGGTGTCAAACTCGATTTCATTGAGGGCCGCCTCAGGGTTGTGTTTGACCTCGGTGGGCATGGTGGACATCACTGATGTCAGAGGCACCTGTGGTGGCCAAGTGCAAAGGCAGGATTTCCCTCAGACCCTCCCTCACTCTCATTATAATCTCCTTCCTTCCTTCCTTCCTTCCTTCCTTCCTTCCTTCCTTCCTTCCTTCCTTCCTTCCTTCTTTTCCTTTGTCTTTCCTCTTTCCCTTTCTCCTTTCCTGTCCCATCCTACATGCTCATATGCAAAAGGGGAAACGTTTCTCCTTTTGTTTTGATTTTAGTTTGTTTTGATTTAATTCCCACATCTTATAATATTCAGTTTGTTCTTCCTCCTTAATTGCAAGCGTTAATCTCTTCATTTCTGCACATTCTAATATTTTGCTTCCTTCCTCCTCTTCTTTTTCCTTCCTTCTTCCTTTTCCTTTCTTCTTCCTTCCCCTTTTCTTCTTTTTCCTTCCCTGCTCTCTTTTCTTCTTTTTGTCTTTCCTCTTTCCCTTTCTCCTTTCCTGTCCCAACTTACACGCTCAAATGCAAAAGGGGAAACATTTCTCCTTTTGTTTTGATTTAGTTTGTATTGATAGCCCTCTGCCAGTGAAAACGGAGCTCAGGCCTGCGCGGCCCTCCCAAGTTTTCACTGGCAGTGGGCTGCAGGAGGCCATTGTGGCCAAAAGTAGCCGAAAATGGGGGCACTCATTTGCTCTTTCCAGGATGGCCCCACGGGCCAGATCTGATCACCCTGCGGCCGGAACTGGCCTGTGGGCCTTGAGTCCATCTCAGTGAAGACCTCACCTGGAAAAACAACGCGATCGAGGTGACCAAGAAGGCCCCACAGAGACTCCATTTCCTTAGGGTCTTGCATAAAAACAGGGTGGAACAACAATTGATGACCTCCTTTTACCGGTCCACAATAGAAAGCATCCTCACTTATTGCATCACAGTATGGCATGCCGGTCTGACAGCCGCGGATAGAAAAACATTGCAGAGGGTGGTGAGGACAGCACAAAACATCGTGGGCTGTCCCCTGATACCACTAGAGGAGATTGCTAGGGCTCGCTGCCTTAGAAGAGTGAGGCAAATCGGTAGCGGTGGCAGGAGGCTCTGCCCACGTGCCCGGACATCATCAAATACAATCTACACATGAGAGTGAACCGGTAGCAAAGGTAAGTGAAACCTACCCCTGTTAGTCTGGTAATGAAATGTTTGGAAAGCAACTCACAAGTTCGGAGAATGAACCTCCATCCTCATCCTACACCTGAGCTACGGATATTTGCCATACCTGTCTGTGCAACAGGTTTTGCTCATCAGCAATCTGCATCTCCAAGGAACGTGCTTGGATGGCCTTGTAGCGAACATCTTCAGGAGGCAAATAAAGGGCCTTCCATTCTAGGCTGAGGTGGATGGAGCCATTGGGCTTCCCCGCAGGGTCCATGAGGTCAAAGTCTCCTGGAGAGAGGAGGAGGGGGAAAAAAAAGACAACATCTGAATCTGGAACAACATCTGGATCCGGGCTGCAGACTTTTTAGTTTTGGAAGTGGTGAATCCTAGGACGTCCTAAACTTGCTGTCAGCTCTGAAGCGAACCTGTCTGGAGCCATCATAGTTGCCACGAATTCTGAAATGGGGAAGGGAGGGGGAAGCAGATAGACTGACTACCGGTCAAAGCAGAAAACCTTTCTTGTGGGAACCAAGGTCATCCCAACAGGTGGCAGTTGAAGGAGGAGAGGAGTGACCAAGCAACTCGCCAACTCCTTTAATTGGACGATGTGACCTGTGACATTTGCGGAGGGAAACATTTGTTCTTTGAATTAGGCTAAAACTGCAGGAAACTCGAGAGTTGGTTTTCACTACCATGTTTCCCTGAAAATAAGACCATATTTTTTTGAACCCTGAAATAAGCGCTTGGCCTTATTTTCGGGGAGGTGTTATTATTTTGGGGCGTGTGGAGCAAGACGGGGCTCCTCTTGCCGTCTTACCTGATTTCCAGCTCTGTCTCTCTAACCCTAACCAGAAGAAATGGTGGGGACCGGCTACGCATACATTTAAATATTTTCAGGGAGGGCTTATTTTCAGGGGGGGTAGTATTTTAGCACATGCGCTCAAAAGCCCGATTGGGCTTATTATCCGGGGAGGTCTTATTTTCAGGGAAACAGGGTAGTTGTGCCGATATGATGTATCCAATAAACAAGTTCTTTGAGGAATCTACCCGCCTCGGAGTTCTGCTTTTGGTGGATGTGTTACCCGGAACACTGACACTTTCACTGAATTGTCTTGAAGTATCATTTATGTTCCATTTCAAAGGATCGAGCATGGCTTTCTGGACCCTTCCAGGGAATGTATGGAAAGTATGGAAACCCCCAACACAAAGAAGTCCTTGTGAGGAAGTTGGGGCTGATATTTCCCTCTATGATATGATTACAGTGGTAGGCCTGGAGGCATTGAAAGAGCCTTCAGAGCTTCAATGGGATCAGTTGACTTATGCCTTTAGACAAGGCTGTAAAGGAACTTAGAGATGACCTTGGAGAAAGAACCCAAGAAGACATCATAAAAGAACCTAAGAAGAAGTTACGGAAGATCCCTTTGAGAGGGACTCGCATAAAAGTTTACATGGTTTTAAGAAAACGGAACGTGGGAAAGAAATTCAAAATAACCTTCCTTGATTTTGTTGAGTTTAAGATAGGACAGAGCAAATCTTGATGGCCTTTCAGAAAGGAGCATGTTACTTAACCCAACACAATTCCTGGAATTGTGCTGGCTGTTTCTTGATCAGCCCTCAATCTCAAAGAGCTGAAAACAATAATGAAGCTTCTCTGTGTCCCATTTATACTAAACAAAATCAAGACAAGCCTATCTTGAATTTCTTTCTCACCCTGCTTGCAGTCTCTGGACTAACTGATTGCTTCTCCACATCTTTCCTCACTGGCTCTCGTATTCTTTCCTTAAGATCATCTCTACGACTCGGAAAATTTCTCGACTTTGTAAAAAGAGACGTAGGCTTTCTTTTAGTGTCAGCTGAAAGAATTTGGATGTTCTGCATCCAAAGGTCAATCATCCAACTGAGAGAAGGCACTCGAGGGCTTAAAGGAAAACCAGGATCCACCAATTGTTCCACTGGTTGAACCATACCTCTTCTAGCCCTCCCCTTGTTGTACTGTCTTTTTCATCCTTTTCCTGACCATTACGGCTGTGGTTGATGGGAGATGTAACTTATCTAGAGCCCCCCCTGTGAATTTTACTGTGCTAGTTGTTACTGACTATAGGGGGAGGTGCTCATCTCCATTTCAAGGCCATTGAGCCAGGTGTCCCATTTCCACGACCACGTGGCCAGCAGGTCGTCACAGAGAGGTGTTGTCTTCCCACCGAAGTGGTACCTATTTTTCTACTCACATTTGCATGCTTTCGAACTGGGGAGAGGACGGGAGCTCGCTCCGTTGTGTGGAGCTCAGGTCTTGAACCTGGGCTGTTGCCTTTCCAGCCCACAAGCTGGAAAGTCTTAACCACTGAGCCACCACTTAACCACTCAGTCATAACTACTGAGCCATCACACCGCCCCAAGCTGCCTGGAGAGCCTCCAAATTGTGGACTATTGTCCTAGATCAGGGGTTTCAAACTCGATTTCATTGAGGGCTGCATCAGGGTTTTGTTTGACTTCGGAGGGCTGGAGTGGGCATGGCCCGGCGTGGGTGTGGCCATGGTGGGCGTGGCCAGCTCAACATTACTCATGTTGGGTCACCTGTGGTAGCCAAGTGCAAAGGCAGGACTTCTCTGAGACCCTCACTCTCATAATCTTCCTTCCTTCCTTCCTTCCTTCCTTCCTTCCTTCCTTCCTTTCCTTCCTTCTGTCTTCCTTCTCCTTTCTCTTCCTTCCCCTCTTTCCTTATTTTTCCTGCCTTGCTCTCTTCCCATCTTTCTTTTCTTGGTCTTTCCTCTTTCCCTTTCTCCTTTCCTGTCCTTTCTTGCATGCTCCAATGCAAAAGGGGAAACATTTCTCCTTTTGTTTTGTTTTTAGTTTGTTTTGCTAGTCCTCTGCCAGAGAAAATGGAGCTGGGGGGTGGGGGCTGCATGCGGCTCCCTTGGGCCCCGTTTTCAGCCACGACAGCCTCCTGCAGCCTTCTGCCAGTAAAAAATGGAGCTCGGGGGGCGCGTGCGGTCCCTTCGAGCTCCGTTTTTGCTGACCGAGGCACTGTGGGTCAGTCCTTTGCTGTTTCCAGGCCGGCCCCACGGGCCAGATCTAAGCCCCCCGTGGGCCAGATCCTTCCCACAGGCCTTGAGTTTGATACCCGTCCTAGATCCAGAAGGGTTTCTCACAGAAGATGGTTCAAGAAACCAAGGCTAAATTTGTGTAGTATCTTTTGTTGCTCTCACCTTTGATGCTATGCCCATGCGCTAACGGTACCAGTGGGATCTGGGCTTTGCCCAAGTAGCTTCCAGGTTCCTCTTCCTCATCGTCAAACACGTAGACCCACAAACTCTCCACAAGCAAATAATGGTGCAGCTCAGGAGTGATGTGCAGAGCAAACTTCTTCACATCTTCAAATTCGGGGTGGTTGCTTGACGGGGTGATGGGCGTGTCGTGATCCGGGAAGGTGAAGAACTGGTACATGGCATATGGGCTGGGCCGTGAGCCAATCCAACGGCTTCTCAAATTGGTACAGCCCTTGATCTGGATGCACAGCTCATTCCGGCTTCCGGCTTCGGTCTTCTAAGGGGGGAAAAAGGAATGGTGGTAATGCAGCAAGGAAGCTGTCCAGTTCAGTTTCTTCAATTCTGACAATATTCATTTCTTGCTGCAGGTTTTAATAAGTGGGTTTCTGACTCTCAATAGGAAAACAATAATTATATTCTGTACTGATTCTTTCAGCTTGTCAGTGAGCTGCATTTGATCTATGGAAGGAATAGGCTTTTGAGTACTAGACGGAACAACTGTTCTGCTCCAGCTACGGACCCCAAAGAACGCAGCACACACAAAGTCTGTACAAACCTTAGTTTACTAAATTAAATCAGTTTTTTTCAAACAAAGGCTGTTAATTAACTTTCTTAACAGCCTACAAGAATCCAAAGAATAAATAATCATAATCTTACTATGGTTGGCAGAAAGCCCAGAAGCAATTTGCAGGAAACTGATAAGAAAACTAAGATCAGGATGCGAAGGAGAGTGAACGAAGTTGTTTCCTGCAAATTGCCTCAGTCGTCGTCCTTCCTTAAATAGGCTAAGGGAGTGGCCAATTAGCCCCAAGCCTTCTTCTCAAGGAGACCTCCTCCTGAGGAGCCACTCCTGCCTTTTGGCAGCTCTGCATGCCTGTGCATCAAGAAGACGCTCCTCCTCTTCTTCCTCTTCACTTATGGGAGCTTCTGGAGGTTCTGAAGGCCCTGGCTGAATCCCTGCCTCTGGCACCACATCTTCTCCAGCCTCCTCATTGTCTGACTCGAGTGCCAGCTGCACAGGCTGCTGGTGCAGCACCACACCAGCCTCCTTGCTGTCGGAATCAGCTACTAGCTGCACAGGCTGCTGATGGGCCACAACAACAACAAAGGGAGAGGGACAGGGGTGGGATTCAGCCGGTTCGGGTGAATCGGATGCTAATTTTACATCTGGTTCACTGAACTGGTAGTTGCAAAGACTGGCTGGCCCCTCCCACCCCAGCCTGACCCTCCCAGGAGTCTCCATGCAGTCCATTTTGGATGCCAGGTAAGTGCAGGGCCTGCGTGGAGGCTCTGAGAGGGTGAAAACCGGGCCTCATGGAAGTTCTGGAAGTTAGGAAACGGTCTGTTTCCAGCCTCCAGAGGGTCTCCAGAGCCTGGGAGAGGCTGTTTTCCCCCTGCCAGAGGCTCAAGGAAAGCCTCCGGAGCCTGGGGAGGACGAAACACTGGCCTCCCGGAAGTTCCAGGAGTGCGGAAACAGGCTTGTTTCTGGCCATCGAAGGGTCTCCAGAGCTTGGGGAGGGCAAAAACGCCTCCCACCCCCCAGCCATGGTGCAGGAGGCTGAGTAGGCCATGCCCACCATGGCCATGCCCACCGAGCAACCTGGCAGAGAACCGGTTGCTAAAATTTTTCAATCCCACTCCTAGAGAGGGGGAGCTTTGGAGGCCACGGTGGTTCAGTGGTTAGAGTGCAGTACTGCAGGCTACTTTTGCTGCCTGTCAGCTGCCTGCGATTTGGCAGTTCAAATCTCACCAGGCTCAGCCTTCTATCCTTCCGAGGTGGGTAAAATGAGGACCTAAATTGTTGGGGGCAATAGGCTGACTCTGTAAACCGCTTAGAGAGGGCTGTAAATCACCGTAAAGCAGTATATAAGGCTAAGTGCTATTGCTATTGTTGTTCTCTGTGGATGGAATTCGTGGAATACTTCCAATACCCATAACTTCAAACGAACACTGAACCAAGGGTCGTAAATCAAGGATAGCACAACTTTGGGCAACACAACCATTTCAGGGGATTCACGAACGGCATTAATCAAGACCTATTTGTACCACGTCAACAGGAGATGCTTATAGGGCCATGTTTCTCAACCACAGCCACTTTAAGAAGGGTGGACTTCAACTTCAACCTAGTTACCTCCCGTATGGACTACTGTAATGCTCTCTACATGGGGCTCCTCTTGAAAAGCACCCGGAGGCTCCAACTGGTCCAAAACGTAGCCACGCGGGTGATTATGGGCGCAGCTCGTTATGCCCATGTAACACCTCTCCTACGTGAGCTGCACTGGCTCCCGGTGGTCTTCCGGGTGCGATTCAAGGTGTTAGTTATCACCTTTAAAGCGCTCCATGGCTTAGGACTTGGGTACCTACGAGACCGTCTTTTGCCACCAATAGCCTCCCACCAACCAGTTCGTTCTCACAGGGAGGGACTACTCAGGGTACCGTCAGTCAAATTATGTCGACTGGCGACTCCCAGGGGGAGGGCCTTCTCTGTGAGGGCTCCAACCCTTTGGAATGAACTGCTCCCTGAGATACGAAATATCCCTGATCTCCGTGCTTTCCGCCGTGCCCTCAAGACCCTGATGTTCCAACAGGCGGGGCTAAACATACGAACATGTGAATGATTTTTTAAATGTTATCTAATTCTGGGTTTTATTTAATTGACCAAACTAAGTAATAATTTTAATTAGCAATTTTATGATGTTTGTGTGTCTATATTTTTCTTGACTGTACACCGCCTTGAGTCCTACGGGAGAAAAGCGGTATAGAAATATAATAAATAAATAAATAAATAAATAAATAAATAAATAAATAAACTCAGCACAGCTGGCTGAGGAATTCTGGGAACTGAAGTACACCTGGCTTAAAGTGGCCAATGTTGAGAAATACTACTGTTGGAAGAAATCTCCATCTGGGTTCAGTTCCAAGTGGGGAGAAAGACACTGAAAACATGGAGGCTGCTTGGAAAGATGGTTTAATGGTGGACAGGACTACATGGTTTGAGATCCTGGGCAAAAAGGCACATGAGAGGATTATATTTATACACTCTCTTGGGCCCTGCCTTAGGGTTTCCTGTTCCTGTACAAGAAATGTATCTCATTGACTGTCGGATTCCCAGGGGACGGGGTCTTAGCTAATTTTGTAGGCTGTCTGTGTCCTAGGCTTGGTTGAGCCTTACTGGGTGATGTAATCTTCCCAGGTGCCATGTGGTGAGGTGGGTAGAGGGGTAATCCTATCATGTCCTGAGGGCCATGTCTTAATCCCATCACCCTGGATCTGAGGGGGTGAGGCAGGGAGCTGCTTTGTCTTTAAAAACATGTTTCTCCTTTTCTCACCCAGGGAAATATAATATTCTGCCTCTTTAATATTTCCAGGATATTTCATTCTTCTAGGAGGGGAGTGGGTGCTAACTTCCTACACTACTATATAGGGTACTTAGGGCAGAGGTCTGCAACCTTAAACACTCAAAGAGCCATTTGGACCCGTTTCCCACAGAAAAGAAAACACCGGGAGCCACAAAACCTTTCCTGTGCCTGACTATTTCTTGAGTGGCCACAAAACTAGCATATGTAGTTAAATTAAACATTCTGTTTTCTTCAGAAATTTTTCTTTTCTTGGTTAGCCTACCGGAGGTTGAAAAGCTCAATAAATTGTGTGCCGGCGGTGTCGCACATTGGCGGTTGTGATGCATATTTTGAGTGACAGGGAGCCGCAGCAGAGCGGTGGAAGAGCCACATGCGGCTCCAGAGCCGCAGGTTGCTGACTCCTGACTTAGGGGAATTTGAAAACTTTTTAAAATAATTTTTCATAATCAAATTTTTTGGCAGAAGGACAGATTGAGTTTCCACGAATGGTTTCCTGTTTGGTTGGTTTTTTGCTTTCTGGCTTATTTGCTCCTGTTGTGGCTCCGTTGCCTGAGCCTGGGCTATCAACAGATGCAGACTCTGAGAGTGAGGGAGAGGAGTTGGCAAGGCCTCCCTCTCCAGGACCCTCCTCTCTGGCAATGCCTCCGGAGGACACCGAAGGCCAAACGATAGGCTCAGAGCCAAGCACGTCCCCGCAGCCACAGGTGGACAGCGACGAAGAAGATAAGTGCTGGCTGGACCCTCGGCAGAGGCGCAGGGAGAAGCGTGTGCAGCAGAAGGGAAGGCATGCCAGAGATTAGCTGAGTCACTGGACCACACCCCACAGGGTATAAATGTGGGTGTGGTGGCCGGTTCAGTTTGTGACGAGCAAAAACTGGAAATAATCCATGATCTCTGTGTTACTGGACTTTGCCTGCTTTATCGGACTGCATTTGGATTAATCCTTGTATTGTTGACACTCTGCCTGTTTTTTCGGAATGCTTGCAGTCTAATCTTTTTGTGTGAGTAAAGTCTGAATTGGCAGCTAGCCACTGGGTTGCTGCCAGCTTTATCTTCAAAGAGTTTTGTCGTGTGGCTTATTAACTCCAGGCCATCTGTGGGGGTGCGTGTGTGGTACGGGGACAGAACAGCTGCTCCTAATTTTTAGTAAACAAACCAAGAAGGCTTATACGCTGATCACAGATCTGATTTTGGAACAGTAGATCAAACTCCTTTTTTCCTTACTCTGTCGCCTTGCGGTTGCCAGCTCTGTGGGGCTGCAACCGGAGTTCCTGCTGCAATAGAGAGAGGTGTCCGCATTTGACTTTGATGGCGGGGCAGCTGCGAAAACTGTTTGAACGGAAAGTGAAGTTTCAACCCGTATTCCAAAAGACCATAATCCTCGCCTTTGGGACCTGGAGGGGTAAGGGTAGGGAAACAATTGGGAAGAAAGTCACATTTTGGATGGATAAGCTAAAGGTTGGAGCATGATAATGATGATAACGATGATGACGATAACGATAATGATGACGAGGGGCTCTTCAGGGTGCCGTCGGCCAGACAATGCCAACTGGCGACACCCAGGGGGAGAGCCTGTCAGAGGTAATTAGCCCCGTTACCTTCCTGGGGTAATTGCCTGGATCGTGGCATTTTCCTTGTGTATACTTTGAAAAATAAAACCGGAATACATCTTCTAATAAACTCATATTTATTGTAAAGAAAATAAAACATCTAACTATCTAAAATAATTAAAGTGTTACATTTTTGCAAAGTTCCTATCGGCTACTTCTCAGCAGCCGGACTTCTCTGGCAAGAGAACAAAGAAAAGTGAAGTAGAACGAAAGGACTGCGGATACACGTAGTTAGCTTACTGATAAGAAATTTTGGCAAGCTACGGAAAGTCTGACAGTCCAGAAATAATGAGCTCTGCTGGCAAATACAAAAACGCAGTGACAGAGCCTTCTCTGTGGGGGCACCAGCCCTCTGGAATGAGCTGCCCCTTGAGATTCGTCTCATCCCCGACCTGTGTACCTTTCGCCGTGCCTTGAAGAACCTCTTGTTCCAACAAGCTGGCCTGGCCTAATACGATTTTTAGAATGGGTGTATGTGTGTTTTAATCTATGGGTCATTTTTTTATAAATTCAATTTTAAATTGTTTTAAATTTTGTATATTTATATGTGTTTTAATATGGCTGTACACCGCCCTGAGTCCTTCGGGAGAAGGGCGGTATAGAAATATAAATAAATAAATAAATAAATAATAATAATAATAATAATAATAATAATAATAATAATAATAATAATTTAATAATAATAAGGTACTTGGTTGATACCTAGGACGCTGGCAGCAACCCGTATCAACCATTAGCACCAGTCAATGGTATTTTTGAATGTTCAGTTGACTGAGTTTCATATTTATTTATTTATTTATTTATTTATTTATTTATTTATTTATTATTTAAATTTGTATACCGCCCTTCGCCCAAAGGACTCATGGCAATGAACAGCCAAAATTAAAATACAATATAAAATTTAAAATAATTTAAAAAACAGAATTAAATCGAATTGGCTTTCCAAAAATTAAAACCCATTACCCTTAAAATAACCCATTAAAATTTTAAGCCAGCCCAGCTTGCTGAAATAGGAAGGTCTTCAAAGCTCAACGGAAGGTCCGGAGGTCCGGGATCAGTCGTATTCCTGGAGGTAGTTCGTTCCAGAGGGCGGGTGCCCCCCAGAGAAGGCTCTCCCCCTGGGGGTCATCAGTCGACATTGCTTGACCGATGGCACCCTGAGGAGGCCCTCTCTGTGGGAGCGAATTGGCCGGTGGGAGGTTATCGGTGGCAGAAGGTTTAATGAATAAAGTATAATAATAATAATAATAATAATAATAATAATAATAATAATAATAATAATACCACCAGAGTTGAAGAAAAAGAACTGGAAAAAATCATGAAATATCGTGACCTGAGCATTGAAACTACACAGTTATGGATGAAACATGTAACATGTAACAGTGATACCCATTGTCATCGGGGCACTTGGTACCATGCGCTACTCGGAACATCGTACATTTTAAGAAGGTACTTGGTTGATACCTAGGACGCTGGCAGCAACCCGTTATCGACTATTAGCACCAGTCAATGGTATTTGTTCATTTTTAAATGTTCAGTTGACTGAGTTTCATGTTTAATGAATCAACGAGATAATAATAATGAGGAGGAGAAGGAAGAGGAGGAGGAAAAAGAGGAGGAGGAAGAGAAGAAGAAGAGGAAGAGGAGGAGGAGGAAGGGGAAGAAGAGGAAGAAGAAGAAAAGAAGAAGAGAAGAAGAACAAGAAAAAGAAGATCAACAACAACAAGAACAAGAAGAGAAAGAAGGAGAAAGGAGAAGAGAAAGAACTGAAGAAGAAAACAAAATATGAAGACCTGCAAATGAAAATAGAATGAATGTGGCAAAAGACAGCAAAGGCAGTACCGGTAACAACAGGTGCCTTGGGTGCAATCCCAAAACAACTGGAGCATCCCTTCAACGCCGTCGGCATTGACAAATTCACCATCGGTCAATTGCAGACGGCAGCTTTACTCGAAACACTTTACATCCTGCGACGGTACCTCTAACACCGTCAAACATCAATATCGGCCTATCAGAGGTCCTTGGGAAGGACTTGGTAGGTGGACAAAAATGCCAAATCCCCGATCTGAACATCTGGTTAACCATGTGCCAAACCAGGGAAACCAGAAGATCCAGACAGTTCAAGTGGGTATAAAGATTCATTGCAGGCTTAAGCGCTCTACCAGAATCCGTCACTCAAACTGTGCAAAATTGGCTGGATTTCATTTGATAAGAGATTCTGGATGGAAGCCTCCCTTCCCAATCTGACATCCTGCAGATTGTGTTAAGCTTCTGATGCGCCAGTCTCCTGACTGGGCAACGTAATATTGAAAATTTGTAATCCACGGATCTAGATTTAACAGATTGGGAAAACACAGCTCTAAGAAAGCTGTTCGGAACTCTACAGCCGCTCCTCCCTTCTTCCAGTTGGCTTCAATTGAAAAGAAGAGGTTAAACTTCCAGGAGCTGCCATTATGTAGGCCTCCTTAGATATTCTCCCACACCTTTTGAAGGAAAAAAGAGAACAAGGTGAAATATATGGTTAATAATTAAAAAGATGAGGGAAGTTAAGAGCCTTGGTAGTACAGTGGTCTAAGGCACCCTGTTATTAAGCTGGTTATTAAGACCAGCTGCCTGCAATTACTGCAGGTTCGAATCTCGCCAAGGCTCAAGGTTGACTCAGCCTTCCATCCTTTCTAAGGTAGGTGAAATGAGGACCCAGTTGTGGGGGCAATAAGCTGACTTTCTATAAATATACAAAAAGGATGAAGGCTATTGCTGAGCACACTGTAAGCCGCCCTGAGTCTCCGGAGAAGGGCGGCATATAAATCAAATAAAAAAAAAAAAAAGATCGGGGTTGCCTGAATTCCACAATAGAAAACATTAAATTGAAAATGAATACAGCAATAGAGAGAGATGAAGGGATTGGAAGGGAGGAGGAAGGAGAGAGAGGGATGGAAGAGTAGGGAGGAAGGAAGGGAAGGGAAAGCAGAGAAGGTAAAACGGGGGGAAGAGAGGAGGAGAAGGAGAAGGGAAGGGGAAGTGGAGAAGAGAAGAAGAAAGTGGGGAAAGAAAGTTGGAAGAGGGAGAGGTTAGGTTTGATGAGGAGAAAGATTGCTGTATAATAAAAAAAAAGATGAAGTGGAAGGAAGGCGGCTCTGAACAAACAAATATAAATATATTAAGAAAAAGGAATGAATTGTTTAAGAATAAAAGAGGATAAATATGCACAAATAGTAAAGTTAGAAATTAGGGATAAATGAAGAAGGTGTTTATGTATGCAAGTCTAGAAATACTGAGGTATATTCCAAAAAAAAAAAAAAAAAAGGAAAGGGGGGAAGATGATATTGACAAAAATTGTAATTGAGTAAAATATATTTGAATTTGACAAACTGTATAAGATAAGAAACGACCAACACTCTGTTCCAAAAAAAAAAAAAAAAAAAAAAAGATGTGGGTGAAAGTGGGAGAGGAGAAAAGAAAAAAACCCAATAAAAATTGTTTTTTTTTTTAAAAAAAAGATATTTTCCCACATCTCAACTACGTAAGTAAGCTACCCAAGCTCCAAAAGGAGAGAATAATAGAATAATAATAGAATAATGCCCAAGGAGCTGCTGATCCAGTTCTTCAGAGGAATTATTGAGTCTGTCATCTGCACCTCTATAACTGTCTGCCTTGGCTCTGCAACCCAACAAGACAGACACAGACTTCGGAGGATAATTAGAACTGCAGAAAAAACAATGGCTACCAACCTGCCTTCCGTGGAGGACCTGTATTCTGCACGAGTCAAAAAGAGGGCTGTGGAAATATTTACAGACCCCTCACATCCTGGACATAAACTGTTTCAACTCCCACCCTCAAAATAACGCTATCGAGCAATGCACACCAGAACAACTAGACACAAGAACAGTTTTTTCCCCCAAATGTCATCACTCTGCTAAACAACTAATTCCCACAACACTGTCAAACTATCTAGAAAGGCAGTATTACCATCTTTTATTCTCATCTTCCCTATTCCCTATCCCCTTATCTTCTTATGACTATAACTTTGTTGCTTGTATCTTACGATTTAAATTGTTTAATTAGTATCCTAGTATGACTTACGTTGATTGCTTATTTAGTGTCCATGACTACCACTAAGTGTTGTATCTAATGTTTTATGATAAATCTATTTTTACAATGACTATGATAATGATTTATCGCTATTGTTGTGTGTACACTGAGAGCTTATGCACTGGAGAAAAATTCCTTGTGTGTCAATCACACCTGACCAATAAAGAATTCTGTTCTATCCTATCCTATCCTATCCTACCCTATCCTACCCTATCCTATCCTATCCAATCCTACTTCTGTTCTGTT